TCTTTGCCGCCGAGAGAGCACACTAAACGTGGAGAGCTGTCAGAGAAAAGAAACATTTTTTGGCCATAACTTCGCTAGTTTCGCGCGGAAAAAATTGATTTTTTTGTGGAAACGTTACTCTTTACGGTGGAAATAGGCCTAAAACTTTTTGTGCCGAAGCTCGGCAAAAATTTTCAAATTTTCGATGACTTTCGATCTAAAAATCTCGGTTGTTTCTGCAAAGCGCGAGCTAGAATTCTCGCATATTTCTTGGAAAAAATTGTTCTAAATTTGTGCCAAGTTTCATCAAAATCTGAATGTCGCATTTGGGGTACTTCCCCTGTCAGATGATAACTGTAACTTCTAACGATAAAATCAAAAAAAAATTTTGGCATTCAACAGAGTTAAAAAGTCGTCACTTCCTCAAAAAATATAATAAATATAATATTTCCATACCTTATCAAAGTTACGGCACCCCCATTTCAACACCTCAAAAGAGACGAAGGTTCGTTGCAAGGTCAGTGGCGAAAAGAATGACAAGAGGTATCAAAACCAAAAAAAAAAAAAAAAGAATCGAAACCTACATATAAAGTAAAATGAAAGCTAAAGGCCCAGTTGAGGTCATATCTACAATTTACCACTAAATATTGCCAAAATAAGGGCGTTAACAGACGATCAAAGCCTCTCATTTCTCTCTTTCAAAACCTTTCTCTATTCTCTAGCCTATGCAAATTTTCCCCCGCCATTAATCTCGACGAAAACCCGATAGCAAGCGCCGCAAGATATGCATTTGCAATCGGAGCGAGCAATAAATTGAGAAATGACCAACCGATAAGATTTTTTTCGAAATAAAAGACGAATCGATCTCATGCGAGGGCCGCGGATTTTGCCCTCAGGCTCCTCAAAAATCGCCGTCTGCACCGCTGATAACCCGGACAAATGCGGCGCCGGGTCAGGGCGGCCCAAGACACACGTCCGGCACCTGTCGCCGCGCCTTCAATTGTTTCTCATTTGCTCCGCCGCTTATTGTCCATTCGCTTTCGGATGGACCTTCCTCCTCTTCCTCTTCTTCTCCTCCTCTCCTCTTCCTTTCATTTTTTCGCCCTCGGCGTCTTTCGACGTCTCGGACAAACAAAAGTTGCGTGCGATGCGTGGTCAGTTTGGCGGAAGAGAACAAAAACAAATTACGAAAAAATGCCGGCAGTGGACTTTGGAGGGGGAGTGATGACAAATAAATATAGGGATATCAACAAAAATAAGTCCAAATAATTTTGTTTGACAGAAAGTATACAGAGGTCAAAAAGCAACATTCAAATTTTGATGAACACTAGAACCGATTTCAAGTTGATCCAGGTCACTTTTTGATGTAAGATGCACTGTATTTCCTTACAAAAAATTATTGACAAATGAAGCTTCCAAGTAGCATAGATGTTGCCAAGATATTCAACTACTTTTTTCGACCGGAAATTATGCTAGATCAGAGAGAGGTCAGCGAAAAGAAAATATTTTTTTTCACTTTGTGACCATTTTTGGACAAGAAGTACTCCGAGTGCGACGCTCAGATTTTCTTTAAATTTTGCACACACGTCGGGAGTAGGCTAGGTATCAATTTCTTAAAGTTTTAGGCCGCGCTTTGCAGGCGCCCCCGAGATATTGAAAGATTTTTGCCGCCGAGAGAGCACACTAAACGTGGAGACCGGTCAGAGAGAAAACCGCTTTTTGGCCATAACTTCGCTAGTTTTTCGAGGAAAACATTGATTTTTTGTGGACACATTACCCTTTACGGTAGAAACCGGCATGAAACTTTTCGTGCCGAAATTCGGCAAAAATTGTCAAATTTTCGCCGGCTTTTGATCTAAAAATCTCGAGTGTTTCTGCAAAGCGCGAGCTAGAATTCTCGCATACATTTTAGCAAAAATATTCAAAATTTGTGCCAAGTTTCATAAAAATATGAGCGTCGCACTTGGGGTTCTTTTCCTGTGAGCAGAGAAGTTCAAAAAGATGATGCTTTCGTCCTGCCGGCTCTCCTGATTTTGTGTGCTCTACCGCGGAGAGGATCACAATTTTTTCGGAGGCGGCTTCAAAGTAAAAGATAAGGTTTATTTGGCCTAGTAAATTGCCAACAAAATAGTAAAAAAAAATAAAAAATTTGCGAATTATAAATAAAATTTGACTGTAAGTAACTCCTGCAAGCAGCTTGCTCCAAAAAATTCCAATAAAATTCCCATTCTAAAGGCTCCAAAACCCTCAAACCCAAAATTACCCGGCACCTCACCCGACCACCCTCATGTCATCAACCAAAGCCGGACCCGAAATCCCGTAAAAGCAAAGATTTCTCGCTTCAACAGCATTATCTTCTCCATGCAGGCGGGGAAAACTCGAAAATGAGTAAAAGTCGGATGCCGAGATATCTCGCCTCACTTCCTCTGTCGGCGAAAGCGAAAGTTCGCCGACGGAATTTTAATAAAAACAAAAAAAAAGGAGATTCTTTTCTGGATTCTTTTTCTTCGAATTTGAACAGAGAGGGAGAAAGTTATGGAGTGTAAAAATGGAAGGGTTGTTTGGGATAAGGGTCTGAAAGTATGACTTGAAAATGCATTAAAGAAAGGTTAAAGAAATTTTTCCAAATTCTGCTGGTCTGAAAACTTGCACTTTGACGGATATTTGGGTGTCTGGCATGAGAAGCTACGATAGGATTTTTACCGTAGAAAGCTTGTGCTATTTTTGGCTTACAGGGGAAGTACTCCAAGTGCGACGCTCAGATATTGGCACAATTTTAGAACAATTTTTTCCAAGATATATGCGAGAATTCTAGCTCGCGCATTGCAGAAACAACCGAGATTTTTAGAGGAAGTACTCCAAGTGCGAAGCTCAGATTTTGATGAAACTGGGCACAAATTTAGAATATTTTTTTCTAAAATATAAGCAAGAATCCTAGCTCGCGCTTTGCAGAAACAACCGAGATTTTTAGATCGAAAGTCGGCGAAAATTTAGGACTTTTTGCCGAATTTCGGCACGAAAAGTTTCATGGCTATTTCAGTCGTAAAGGATAATGTTTCTACAAAAAATCAATTTTTCCGCACAAAATTGCCAAAGTTATGGCCAAAAAGCGCTTTTTTTTGACCGCTCTCCACGTTTAGCGTGCTCACTTGGCGGCAAAAATCGTTCGATATCTCGACGGCGCCCGCAAAGCGAGAGCTAAAACTTTCAGGAATTGATATTTAGTCCATACCCGACGTGTGTGTAAAATTTAAAGAAAATCTGAGCGTTGCACTTGGAGTACTTCCCCTGTAAGAAGGAAAGTACTTCTATGGGGTATAGAGTTACAGGTCGAGAGATATATCAAAAAAAAAATTGCAAAATCTTTCTGATTCAGAATATGTAAAAGCTAACTGCCTAATTTCGGTCTGTAAGGGTGAAAAAACCTCTGAACTTTTCTCGCAACGCCATGGAAATGCGCCTTTTTTTCATTGCAACTACTAATTAAAGTGCAGTATTATTCAAATTTGATATTTGTCAAGATGCCAGGGTTCACTTTTGCTCAAAACAAAGCTTTTCGTTGTTTTGGTAAAAACTTTTTTCAAAAAAAGCATTTGCGCAGTGTTGCAAGAAAAGTTCTGAGGATTTTTTCACCCTTACAAACCAATATTAGGCAGCTAATTTTTACATATTCTGAATCAGAAACGCTTTGCAAATTTTTTGATATATATCTTGACCTGTAACTCCATACCACATAGAAGTACTTTCCTTGTGAAAAAAAGACTTTTTTTCTGACCCCTCTATGGTCTACCATAATAATTTCCGGTTGTTGAATATCTTGGCAACATTTGTGCTACATGCAAGCTTCAATTGTCATAATTGATATGTTGCCAATGTACCACAAGCGTTCAAAGTTTAAAAATAATCCGAGCATTGAACTGTAAAGAAATCTTTTCAGCAAAAAAATTGGACCCAATAATTTTGTTCACACCCACAAAACTCCCTAAAATAACCTTTATATTAGACTGACATCTGGCCACAATCAGTCCATAAATCTATATTTAAATCGGGGGGCCAAAGGGTGGCTGATTCAGCCGCCCCTCCCTCCGACCACCCTCTCACCACTTCCATGGCCCACCAACAGCTGATGGCCGCAGGCATTTTGCGTTTCGTTTTCGTAAATTTTAAAACGTGGAATTCCAGAGATTCCGGTGTCTGGGAAAAGTGTCAAAATCGCCGGGCCCCGATTGTCCGAACTTCATGAAAAATGGGCCATCAGCTGGCTGCCCGCCTGATCGGTCAAATGCAAATACGAAATATTTTGAAAAGACGAAATGATAAATAATGGGGCGACGGAGAAAGAATTGGTTCTTGAACCTCTTCGAGATTGATGAGCATGAAAGGCGTGATATCATCAAAATTCGAGACCTTAGAGCTTGGCCTTTTAGTGGGTCAAGAACCATCAATGGTAAAAAAAAAGAGATGAACAAGGCTCAGTAATCAGATTAAAAACTTACAAGGGAAGTACCCCAAGTGCGACGCTCAGATTTGCTTTAAATTTTGCGCACACGCCGCGGTCACTTTTTGATGCCAGATGCACAGTATTTCCTTACAAAAAAATATCGACAAATGAAGTTTGCTTGGAGCATAGATGTTGCCAAGATATTCAACAACTTTTTTCGACCGGAAATTATGCTAGATCAGAGAGATGTCAGCGAAAAGAAAATATTCTTTTTTCAGTTTTTGACCATTTTCTAACAACGGAAGTACCCCAAGTGCGACGCTCTGATTTTCTTCAAATTTTGCGCACACGTCGAGCATGAACTAAATATGAATTCTTGAAAGTTTTAGCTCGCACTTTGCAAGCGCCGCCGAAATATTGAACGACCTTTGCTGCCGGATGGTATTTGAAGTGCATACGGAGTAATATTTTATGTCGATAAACTGCCCTGATAAACTGCCTTGAAGAACTACCATTACAAAAAAGCCTTGCATATTCAATCAAAAAAACATTGAAAACAGAATTCCCATGATGTTTTTTATTATCTCTTTTCTGCATCCTTAATTAGCAGTGTTTTCAGCTCCTTTAACGACTCTACAATCTGTTCGTACAGTTGCAATTGTCGTCCTTTCAGCCCATCCAATATCGTGTCATCCTGTAGACTCTTGGCTTGAACCAACAGTCCCAAAAGATGATTTATTTTCCCAATCGTTTCATTCGGCACTTTATGCGCCCTCAGGGCTTTTCTCAAGTTTTCGGTAGCGTCGATGAGAAATTGGAGGGTATGAGAGAGTGGATGGAGAGGGTCGACTTTAAAAAGAGCGTCCAAAAAATAGGCCACTTCGGTTCGAGGGTTGAAATGTTGGACATCGCCGGCTTCAAAGGCCGTCACAATGGCCGCTCTGATTAGGTAGGAGTTTAGGCCGATAAAACCCTCTTTGTTAATGGCAGCCATGTTGCGGTCGAGGACTGTGTTTTCGTGACTCTGAAGTGTAATTAAGTTCAATATCTATTTTTTTTAAATAAAAATTTTTGGGAAGAAGTAAGAGTCTCTTTTCTAATTTTTCAACAGTAACAATACTGAAAGAAAACCAAAATTTTTCAACTCCAAACCCTATGTTGATTTTGGAACGTAAATTCAGGGTCAAGTGAAACAAGATAAACTCAAATTATCAGTTCATTATTTGCAGAAACGGCGAATTTTTCCCAAAAATTCAGCGTCAGTTGACATCTTTAAGACTCACAAATTATCATCATAACTTGTCATACCGTACGTTATCACAAAATAAAAAAAACGAGATCTTTTTGGAGATGTCTAAGAAAGTCATCGCCACAAAATGAATTTTGACCCTCCTCTTTCCACAGCGGCTCTTTAATAACGAATACTTTATTACAACTTCCAAAACAGCTCACCTTTTCCAAAGAGTGTAGGAAGAATATTTCCTCGTCCAAAAAGACTAGCTCGTCATCCGACGCCTTTTTCGCCAAGCTGTGACGGATTTTTTCTATGTGTTTGATAAGTGCTGATAGCCCAGCTCCGAATAGGTCGGAATCCGGAATTTGTTGGATCAAGAGTTTAACTTTGAAGACGTCTTCGCTGATTTCAATCTCATATTGATTTGCCAGTTTTAGAATCTGAAAAAGTGTACTGTCTGGCAACATGAATAAAGGCAAGTTGTTACCCATCGTATTTTAAAAATTGCCCATTGAATTTAACAGCTCTAAACAATTCTCGAGGCTTTTTAAAAAAGGCCAAAAAGCTTTGTGATATTCTAAATATTTTGATATACAATAAAAGTAATTCTATAGCAAAGATTATTCCAAAACTTGTGTTTATCAAGCTCTGCGTTTGCATTAGAAGTGCTTTGCTCAAACTTTGCAAAATTCGAGACCTTAGAGCTTGGTATTTTAGCCACACTATTGACCACAACAACCCACCTGGCTATCGATGAACAGCCTTTGCTCCACCACTTTATTAAAAGGTATATCAAATCCTGAGGCATTGAAGATTTTGAAAAACTTTGTATCCACATCCGACTCGCCCGTATAATTCAACCCACACACAAAGCCAATCAACAGAAATTCCGCTACAATGAACTGCATAATGAACCACTGTGGATACTTTTCAGACCTTTATAAAGTCATTGAGGAACAAAAGGTCGTCTCATTATACGAAATGATTGCATTTCAACTTTAAATTGCAGGTGTAAGGGGGCGTCGGGGTGGGCAGGCAGTAATTGTAGAATTTGAATGATTAATTATCAGACGAATTTAATGGTTGATGATGTGGCATACCATGGTATGCCAAGGAATTATTTGCCCAACGTCAAACACTACTTCTTTAAAAAAGCCGCTAAAAATCGGCCAAAATTGAAATGCTTCCTCCAAATAAAGCCTTGTGAAATAAATATTCCGAATTTGATTGCTTGTCTCGCTTCTCAACATACAAAAATAAAGACTAAAATACTGCTAAAAATTTAATTTGCAATGTCTTTCAAGAAACGTGAAGGAAACTGGAAGGATTTTTTGGGGTTTCTTGATATAATCTTTAAGAAAACGTGCATAATTTGCAAGTGTTGGCACTTTCCTCCTATTTTTCAACATCACCCATATCGAAACCCCCCAAAAATCCGACATTTCCTGGTGATTTTCAACCGAAAAAGCCCGAAATTTCTCGATCATTTTCATGGTTTTCGGGGTAGAGATGCCTCTACTTCAGAAGGTTGTAGCGACCTCAGTTTGCACTTTAAAAGCTTGTTATTTCGTAGACAAAAACTAATGTCTTTTAAAAATACATATTTCAAATACGAAGTCTCTGCGCCGCCTCCGCCGGAAGTTATAGCCTTCCACTTTCCTTCACGTTTTTTGTAAGACCCTGTAAATTTATTCCAAAAAAGCGGAAACAAAATGATGTTTGCTCAAAAATGGACCAATTTTACAACGATTTTTATTCAAATTTTTCGAAAAAGTATTTCCAAAGTGCAATTTTTGGTTTTGGAAATCATTTCTTCTCGGTTGTCCAGCTTCCACCTTCTGTTACGCGTGATTTTGAAGTGAAAATAGTCGATTGCCAGCGGCAATGAAGTGGATCTACATTGTTCTTGGTCTGGGATCAGCTGGTTTGGTAAGTCCGAAAATGAGATTTTTTGATATAACTCATCAATTTTTGGCCTATTTTTGATCTGTCCTCTTCGGATCGGTAAAAGTTCCTTATTCTGGCCACAACTTATAACTTTGCGGAAACTGGACAGAATTAGCCCAAATTTGGCTTGCAGGCTCAATTCATCGTTGTGGCCAGAATAAGGAACTTTTCCCGGATCTCATGTTGTTTCTGTTTTATGGAGCGTATTTTACCCTTGCATTTAACTGTTACAATGGCGGACCTGATCCATTGGAAAAAAGCGTACCATTTTGGATCCGGGAAGTATCAAAAATGCAGCAAAATACCTCCCTCTCCAAGCGAAAAAACTCCGATTTTAAAAGCTCTTCTTGTAAGAGAAAGGGCATGCCCTTCAAAACCGAGTTTTTTTATTGTAGTGGGAGGTATTTTGCCACATTTTTGATACTTCCGGGATACAAATTTGTACATTTTTTGATAATGTATCAGGTGCCTCACTCTACCGCCTTCTTATATACTGTAGGTTCTATCCGAAACAAACGAAGAAAGATACGAACGAGAGTTTGCTGAAAAGATGGAAGCAATGGCCGACAAACTGGCTCCTGAGGCATTGGCTGAAACGATGGTCAATGTCATGCAGGTCGGTGGAATTAAGCTTCCCAAAGATGAACTCACCGCCAAATTCTTGGAGGAGTATGAGATGGTAAGTAAATATTTTTTCAGTTGATAATTAAATACAGTACCAAAATTTTCCAAATATTGTTTCAGTACTCATCCATCAGTCGCAAATTCGATTTGAAGAGACTTTTTGATTTCATCGTTATAAACGTGACCAAGATTCGTGAGGAGGATCTGCTTGGTGAACCGGTACTTCGTGTGTCCCATTTGCTTTCGGTGTTTCGGCACCAGTTGAGGGGAAAGATCGGAACCACCGAGATGACAAAGTTGGATCGGGCCATTGCGGTGCTTTCCTTCATGTACTTTGTAAGTTTAGGAACTTCATTTGTCCTCGGAGGATCGGTTATGCATATTAGGTTCCACTGTACAGTGCACGTCAAACTGAGATAAGCTAAAACAGTCCGGTGAATGGATCGGCAATTTGCCAAAAAAAGACGCGAAAAAACGTTTTGTCGGGGGAGAAATGGGGAATTTTTGGGGCGAGAGAGTACGTTTTTGCGTGCCTTTTTTCTCTCTTTCTCTGCGAAATCAGGACGAAGTGTAAAAAACCGATAGCGAAGAGTCTATTCCGGTCACCGGACTCCTCAGCTTGACGTGCAGTGGGGAGCTGATCCAGTGGCAAAAAAACGTATCATTTTGGGAACAAACTTCCTTTTTCTGGGCCCGGCGAAAAGAAGGTTTTGCAGCTTGCGTCCGAACAATCCCGGTTGCAAGGAATATCAGGCTTAGGCAGGCTAGGCTTTGTTTAGGCTTAGCCTCAGGCTTAGTTTAGCGCTTATCTTGTTTCCTATTTTTATTCGCTGCCTGCAGGGAAACCAGGGCGCAAGCTGCGAAGCGCCGGGCCAGAAAAAGGAAGTTCTTCTCCATTTTGCATCCGGAAAGTTTCAAAAATGTGGCAAAATGCTTCCACCTCCAAGTGAAAGAACTCCGATTTCAAAAGCGCGGCCGCTCTTTTTGTGAGGGAAAGGGCGCGCCCTTCAAAACGAAGTTTTTCCGTTTGGAGAGGGAAGCATTTTGCCACATTTTTGATACTTCCCAAATGCAAAATTATACGTTTTTGCCAATGGATCAGATTCCTCACTGTACAGAAACTCCGATGTTTTTCATCAAGTTGCCTCAAAACTCATTAAGACTCGCTGAAGTTTGGCTGAAATGTAAAAGCGGAATTTTTCAGCAAACGTACTTTGTTACCAGGTACAGCACTCTCAACCGGCGCGCCGGCCTCGGACTCAGTTCAAACGAGATCTTCGACAGACTACTTCACCTTATCACCCAGACCTTCGAAATTGGCCTAGCTATTGGATACAACCCCGTCAACGAGTACCACGCATGGATGAAAGCCCTTGGAGGCTTTGATGCTATACCATTTGAAAGGGCATTGGACGCCTATTTGAAGGCCCTGAATCAATTGTTTTCGGCGTTGGAAACGCATGGCGCAGCTGCTGAAGATATCGCGTTCTTGAGCGAGGAGTTTCAAACTGTGAAAAAATTTCGCGACGAAAACCTCAGGAGAAAGAAAAGGATGACCGTTTTTTATGACTTGTAAAGTAAATAATACTGTTCATAGATTTGTAAAATAAATACGACGTTTCATTGATTTTTTTTGCAAGCTACTGGAGAACCTATTATATTAGGTCGTCCAGTAAGTTAGTTCGTTTTTTTGATGGCATTGTTTTACAAGAACTTTTTGTTGTTTGCCAAGGGTAATATATTTATTTGATACAGTTTTTTCTCCTCTTTTGATGATTTAATTTTTCATTATTTTTTGGGCTCAAAAAGGTTTTTGAGGTCCTCTTCGCCATCGAATTTTTCACTTCGAATTTGGTTTGACAAGGAGCGGGAAGGATGGCAATCGGTTGGCACATAGTGTGGTTGATATCGAAGAACCTCCCATTCGAGCTCTTGGAGTGCGGTTTTGACGACTTGTGCAACATGGGAGCAGGAGGACTCGTGGTGAAAGATGACTTGGTCTTGTCTATCGGGTCTTTCAGTCGAATAGCCTCATTCACGCGGTGTATTTGGGCAGCATAGAGCTTCTCGTCGACCGTGGCTTCTTGTAAAACAAAGCAATGGAAAAAAAACGAGCGAACTTTCTGGACGACCTAATATTATATCTAACAAGCTATAAAAAAGTTACTACCGAATAAAACATGACTTTATTTCAGGATAGGATCAAAACTGACTGAAGCCTTTTCATCTTCAGTTCTTTAGAGCGGGAGGGGCGCGAAGTTCGCGCTTCAAATCCTTCAAGTCCTCAACGATCTCCTCGTACAGAGCCAGAGCGTTTCCAGAGAGGCCATCAAGCACGCTGTCGTCTTGCTTGGCCTTGGCCTTCTTCAAAAGATCAATCTGGTCCTTGAGAACGGCGAATCCGACATTTCGAGCGCCGTTTTGTTTCGGGTAGATCAGATCGCGCTCGGCCTCCAATGCGTTGATCAATAGACGGAGCGGGGTGCTCAACGGATGGGCGAGGTCGATAGCCATATGGGCTTTGGCGACGTTGGCGACGGCTCTAACGGGGTTCACGCTGATGTTGAGGCCTTGTTTGTAGGCCTCAATGACGTTGTTGACAATGAAGTTTCTGACTTTTTTATCGTCCATCTCGATACCAGCGGCTTGGTTGATGGCTTGGGCTTTCTTTACGGCCAAGGCGTGTTGAGGGTCCTAAAAAATCGGCTATGTTAACATTTTTACTCTATGCTTACTCTTCGCAACACCTTCGCGGAGTCGAGGAAGGCGTCGACGATGATCAGTTTGGGCTCCTTGATTTTGTCGGACAAGCGGTTGCGGATGGCTTGCAAGAGGTCGACAACCTTGCTGAGTTCGGGGCCAGTTCCATCCTTGCTGTTGGCGGCTTTGATCAACTGCTCCAGGAAGCTGTTGTAGGTCGGGAGTAATGGCTCATACAGCTTAACCGAATTGGCGAGCTCGATTATCTGCAAATGTGAGGAACTTGTCGGCGTTCACCTACGTTCAGCGCAATATCAAGGAAGAGAAGGTGTGCAGTGCCGTGGTCCAGGTTATTGATTCCGACGTCTTTTAGCAGTCGAATAAAGTAATCGCGGACTTGTCTCTTCTCCACAGAGTCAAGCTGTCTCTGTTTCGGCTTGGCTGTCTGAAATCGAAGAATTTTAGGTGCAGTTCTACTTTATGAGCCCTAATCTGTCGAGCAGTAGAAATTGCAACGAAATTGCAACCCCAAACTTACGATCTGAGCGACCAACAAGGCTCCGAACAAAGCGAAGACGAAGAACTTCATGGCGAAGGGTGTGTGTTGACTTTGCACCGGCAGCACTTTATATACCAGTATAGGGACATCTGAACATGAATAATTTTGTCGCAACACTCGCTTTCTTTTCCCATTCACATTTCGAATTTAATGGGCTGATCATGATGGGCCTTGACGTGGCCGCCGGCATCTGCAACGTCCACCGTTTATCACCTCATAAATCCTGGAGTTGATAGACACCTGATGCAATACTTATTAAAATTTTGTGTCCCCAACGACTCAGGCCGTTCGTTAAAATGCATTTTCGAACGACTTGTTAATGGGCATATGAAGGGCCTTGGAAAAATGTAAGAAGATTACATTTTTGCTGCATTATTATTAACGGCTCATTAGTTTTTGTCCCATTTATAAGCGACGGCCACCGCAACAGCGACATAATCATCAGTGAAGCAAGATGAAACTCGCGATCGGATGTTTGGCCCTGCTGGCCGTAGCTCAGGTTCAGGTAGGTGGTAGTGTTCAGGAGCGCTTGAAGAGTGTTGGAGAAAGCGCTATTGTGTAATTGCAGGCCCAACTACCAGCCAGAGATGTGATCCAGAAGCTCTTGAAGAGATCCGGAATCGACATTTCCGCTTACAGTTCGCACGACTTTGACCTGGACGCCCAAAGAAACGTAGGTACAACTTGACCAAATTTGGCTACATTTTGTCAAACTTATTGTATTTGTAGGTCCTCGAACTTCTTCAAAAGTACAACCTCTACGATGAACTGGTGTCCGCCCTGAACAAGGCCCACGACTTGCTGATCGCCTTGAATGACCAGAAGGATATCGAAGGCCCTAAACTTGGTCTTGTCATCACCGCCTTGAAGGGACTACGCCACCGCTTGGCTGCCAAGGCCAACGAGGACGAGCTTCGTGTTTTGGATGGCGAAATCGACGTGTTGAGCGCTGTGCGACGCGTAAGGAAACGGCGAAAAATTGCCGCTGAATTTCGGTTGGCCTAACGGCTACAGTGGGGGACCTGATTCAGTGGCAAAAAATATACCATTTGGCATCCGGGAAGTATCGAAAATGTGGCAAAATGCTTCCCTCTCCAAGTACAAAACGAGCGCTTTTGAAACCTCAGTTTTCTCACTTGGAGAGGGAGGTATTTTGCCACATTTTTGATGCTTATTGGATGCAAAATGGAACGTTTTTTTACACTGGATCAGGTCCCCCACTGTACGTATTTTTTTGCAGGACGGCACCAACGCACTTGCCCTCAAGAAAGCAAACGCCATCCTCAAGGCAGGCCGCCCCGATCTGAACATCTCCAACGCCGACCTCAAGAAGAGCTTCTTGAAAAACATCCTGGAGTCCTACCAATCGGCTGCCCCACAAGGTGGACGCAACCCTCGCCAAGTTGTGCGCGCCTCCATCGACGCCCTCCTCAACCTCGACGCCGCCCACCCCTTGAGCAGCTCGCTGGGCCAGCTGATCGCCGCGCTGAAGGAGCAAAACGACTTTGCGCAAAAGATCAACCACGGCAATGGCACCGAGATTGGTAAGCAGATTGCCGTTCTGGAGTTGGCCAAGGCACACCAAGATGACTCCATCTTGGACGGGCTCAGCGGAAAGGCGTTGAGCCTCTATGAGGACTTGGTTGAGAACCTGAAGGACTTGAAGAAGGAGCTCAAGTAAATAAGTTCTCCGTAAATCTGAATTGCACTGGATTGGAGTGAATAAACCAGCTGTTTAATTATTAATTTTGATGGGTTTTTTGGCGTTCTTACATCTTTTGCAAGCATAAATTTTAATCTAACTATGATGCAATGCAAAATCGCAACAGAAATTGCTCCGTATGTTCAAAGGCCCATAAAATTTACATCTTTGCATCGCAACGAAGGAAGCAAATTGATTGTTTTATTGGTTTTTTAAATACAACAAAATGGTATACATAAAAAACCAGGCACTTGATACAAATTGTTTGCAAATATCAAGTTAAACTTCAGTTCTTTAACAATGATTTTCCAACCACACATTTACTGTTAACCCTACAGTAGGAGACCTGACCCAGTGACAAAAAACGCACCATTTTGCATCCGGGAAGTATCAAAAAATGTGGCAAAATGCTTCCTTCTCCAAGCGAAAAAACTCCAATTTCAAGAGCCCGCTCGCCCTTCCGTTCAAAATCTTTTACAATGAGGCTACAACAAGAAGAACGTAGATCAACTTCATGGCCGCCGGCAATCGAGTCTTTTCGCTTTAATCTCGAGCAAAACAGAAGACGCAAGCTGGACGATGAGCCGTGAAGGAAATGATTTCCAAAACAAAAAATTGCACGCAAAGAGAAAAATCCAAAAAAATTGAATAAAAGTCGTTGTAAAATTTTTACACTTTGCAACAAAAAATCATTTTTTGGCCGCTGTTTTGGAAATTTCGCAACAGTAAGGCCTTGTTTGGAGGAACATGCATCTCAGTCTCCGCAGCTTTTTTGGTTGCTTTTTTGCCAAAGTAGTAGTGTTTGACGTAGGGCAAACAAACAGAACTGGATAAAAGTTGGCCCCATTTTTAAATTTGGGCACAATTTTCTAACATATGGCGTCAGCTTTGTAACTCGAGCTTTCCAGAAGCAGATTCCACCTTTTCTCATTGTCAGATTTGTGGTTTGAAACCTTAGCTTTGCATCAACTACATAAAAGTCATGATCAAACACTGTTTCTTGCCTGGCGGGCTTTCCAAATTTCTTGTGCTCTCTGAGAAAAAAATTACTTCTTATGTTTTACCAAAAGCGCTGCTTGTGTCTACGTACTGCGAAAAAGACAGGTGCCGTAAACGCAAATTTTTGCCTCCTGGATGGTTTGATCCCAAAAAATGTTAAAAATTAAATTTTCAAAAAAAAAAACTAAAAACACAGCTTTGTAGAGGATAAAAAGCTGTATCAAATAAATATATTCACTTTGCCAAACAATAAACCAATTCTTGTAGAACGAAAGAATCAAAAAAAACGACGGAACTTTCTGAACAACCCAATAGAAAGGGCGAGCCAACGCCAGAGATTGCCACGGCCAAAATCTTCGGTCCGGCTCTGGCTCTTAACTCCCAGAGCCAAGGCCAAATTTGCAGCTCCGGCTCAAGATTCCGGCTCGAAGACAGAGCCAAGAGACGAAGCCAAGAGCCGGCTCCAGAGCCGTGGCAATCTCTGGCCAAGGCTTTTATGGATTTTAATCGTTAGAACATGTTGCCAGTCTATGATCCGAATGCAAAATTTTAGAAACTTTCAGTGCCCCACTTGAGTTCCCACTTTCTTTTGCAGAAGGCTTAAAAAAACAGTTTGATGTGTTTTTTGCAATCTGTATTCATTACAATTACAGATGATGCAACTCATAGTCATTGTGCAAAAAATTGCTCATGACATTCTGAAGATCATAAAATTAACATTTTTGTTTCTTGTCAGAATGAGAAAACGCTGCTTAGCCTTGTTTTTATTGGATTTTTAACTATGTTTCTGACCGTATATAAGCTATCTACGCGATCTGAGAGTCACAATCCATCAGCATGAAGGTCTTCTTCAGCTCCTTTCTTGTCCTTCTCTTGGCTCAAAGCGTATGTCATAGTGTCTTTTTAGGCAAGCAACACGATTTTCAGGTCTCTGCTGACGAGTCGGAGGTCCGAGACATCATTCACGGCTTGCTGAACAAGGCTGGTGTCAACATCAGCAAAGCGGACGCTCATGAACTTGTGTTGAGCTACAGACATGAGGTGGGTTTTTCAGCGAAATCCTTTGATCGTTTGCTCTTTGTAGGCCATCAGACTTTCCAACAAGTACCAACTCTATAATATTGTTGAACCGCAGTTGGAGAAGATCGACGGGAAATTCGACGCGCTTAAGGGCGAACGCAACCCCAACGGACCAAAACTCTCGGCTATTGTTGGCTCGCTGAAGGCGCTGAGAAGTCAGTTGGCAGCCAAGGCTAGCGAGCTCGAATTGGCCTTCCTCGACGTTGAAATCGACGTCTTGAGCGCACTTCAGAACGTAAGCAACAAGCAAAACTCTATATACAGTGAGGGACCTGATCCAATGGCAAAAAACGCACCATTTTGCATCCGGGAAGTATGAAAAATGTGGCAAAATGCCTCCCTCTTCAAAGGAAAAAACCTTGTTTTGAAGGACGCTGAGTTTTTTCACTTGGAGAGGGAGGTATTTTGCCACATTTTTGATACATCCTGAATGCAAAATGGTACGTTTTTTGCCACTGGATCAGGCCCCCACTGTATTATTTTTTCGGCAGCTGATTTTCTTTAACCTCAACCCGTGTTTTAGGCCCCTACCCAAGCTATTCAATTCGCAAAATTCAAGCAAATCAGTGTCAATGGAAACCTCGGTCTCAGCGACGCGCGAATCCACGAACTCCTTGTCAACACCCCTCTTGAAGCGTACAACCAGGCCGCCAAGGTCAAGCTGAACCCCGTCAGATTGGTGAAGGCCTACAACGAGGCTTTGTTGAACTTGGATCAAAAGCATCCCCTGAGCAGCAGTCTCCGCGTTCTCATCGACAGCCTGGTCGAGCTGGACAACGCCATTCATCCACAGAATAAAGCACTCGCTCCCGTTGGAAAAAATGTCATCAAAGACCAGATCAAGTTGTTGCGAGACGCCAAGTCTCGTCAAGATGATTACTTGCTCGATCATTTGAGTGGAAAAGCCTTGAGCCTCTACGAAAGCCTTGTGGATAACCTCTTGGATCTAAAGGCCGAAATTCGCATTTCCATCAGTTGATAAATGAAATGAAATGTATGTCGTGTTAAGATAATAAACAAGCATTCTGCATTAAAATAGCGACTATGTATAACATTTTGGATTAAAAAACTATAGCAACAGCTAAATATGATAGCCAAACCTATAAGGGAAGTACCCCAAGTGCGACGCTCAGATTTTCTCTAAATTCTGCGCACACGTCAGGCGTGGGCTAAATATCAATTCCTGAGAGCTTTAACTTGCGCTTTGCAAGCACAACCGAGATATTGAACAATATTTGCCACCGAGAGAGTAGGCTAAACGCAAAGATCGGTCAGAGAGGAAGCCAATTTTTGGCTTTGACTTTGCTTGTTTCGCCCGGAAAAAATATTTTTCTGTTTAAACATTACACTTAACGGTAGAAATATCACAAAATGAATCTATCCCTGTGCAGTGAGGGACCTGATCCAGTGGCAAAAAACTTACTATTTTACATCCGAGAAGTATTGAAAATGTGGCAAAATGCTTCCCTCTCCAAGTGAAAAAACTTTGTTTTGAAGGACGCGCCTTTTTTTCTCACAAAAAGAGCGGGCGCGGTTTTGAAATCTGAGTTTTTTTTCACTTGAAGAGGGAGGCATTTTTCCACTTTTTTTATACTTCCTGGATGCAAAATGGTATGTTTTTTGACATTGGATCAGGCCCCCACTTTACATTAGTTACACGTGTGAAGAGTTGGAGAAAAATCGGAGCGTCGCACTGTGAGAAAAAACAGTCCTATTGTTAATATAACTTCCAGTTAAGAAGTAGTCATAATTTATACAGCAAATATCTTATGATCTATTACCAAACCTTCTCCTTCTACTCTAGAAATACTCTAGTGTTTATACAAGTTTTCTTCGTTTAACGGTATGCTTTATCGTGCTGTACACACCCTATATTCAGGCCGTTTATCCTGTCTTATTTTGTCAGTCATCAACTTTATTTATTCTTTGCAATTTACTTCAATTCATGTTTCAAGTCCTTCAAAGCTTCGACAAGCTGCTCGAACAACAACAGTTGATTTCCACTCAAGCCATCCAGAATGGTATCATCTTCTCTGCTCTTGGCCTGCACCAATAAATTGCTCAGTTCAAAAGAAAACAAAGGATATTGCAAGATAGGGCGACCACGAATCAAAAGATATCTCGAAAGGTGCAAGGCCAGCTCCTTGAAGCTCTTTTGGACCCGATCAAGCGTTGGACCCAACGGATGGCGCTTGTCAATATTGGATATGTCACTAAAAAAGCGGTTTACATGGTGCAGAGGACTTTGGCTCAGTTTCTCCCCGACCTCATAGCTGCCCTGGACTACAGCCAAAATAATTCGGCGGCAATCTTCTTTGCTCTTGTTGAGATAGGCGGCGTCAAACACTGCGTAGAGATTGTCGACAATTGTGCTTTGAATTGGGCTCTAGAAAGCATGTAAGCACAGACCGAGTCGTCAACAACACCCACCTTGCGGATGATGTTAAGAAGAGCAATTTCGGAATCGATCTTCAGCAACTCCAGAAGAGAAGCCTTGGATACCAATGTGTCTCTGACCTTGCTCAAAGCACCAACCACAGGAGCAAGGCCCGCGCCAAGTGGATCATTATCGGGAACGGCGAGAAGAGAATGGATGACTTGCGGCACCAGAGGCGCAACTTCGTCATAGAGGTTGTACTTATTGGCGAGACGAATCGCCTAGAAATGAATGATATTAGATACCGTATAAGAGTCATAATGAATCAGGAGAATTGTACTGCAATTTAGGCAGAGCCTCGACAATATCTTGACAGCATTTTGGACCTACAGTGAAGGCCCTGATCCAGTGCCAAAAAAACCTTTCATTTTGCATCCGGAGAGTACCGAAAATGTGGCAAAATGCTTCCTCCTCCAAGCGAAAAAACTTAGATTCCAAAAAGCGGGCCCGCTATTTTTGTAAGAGAACGGGCGCGCCCTTCAAAACAAAGTTTTTTAACTTGAATAGGGAGGTATTTTGCGACATTTTTTGATGCTTCCTGGATGCCAAATGGTACGTTTTGTGCCACTGGATCAGGTCCCGCACTGTAGTTGAAAAAGCTGGACGTAAAATATAGCAAGTTCATAACCATACCAACCGTATTTTACTCTGCTATAAGATGCCCTAGAATCCGATTGCAGCCTAAAAATTTTTCTGGGTTCCCTGGGGTATATTTGTATAGATACCGGATATAAAAAGCTGTACAAGACAACTGTAACTAGGGGCTCACTTACATCATACTTGATCAAACTGATCAGTTCAGCAATTTCTCCGGGCTTTTTCTGAATTCCAGCAGCATTCAAGATCCCTTTCAACTTCTCACTCAACTTCTTATCTTCGTTTTGCGCATTGCAAACCACAGCCAAAGCGAAGATCACCAGTAGACGTTTCATCTCCAAAACACCTTGTGATAATGTCAAATAACGAACAGTGACACCCTTTATGTTGTTATACCCAATGGATCGCATTTCCTCTGCATAAGAAATGTAATGTGCATCGATTAATGTAAATGAAATTGGGCACGGAGGTTTTGATTGCACCGAGTTTAATATTCCACGCTTTATTGGCTGAATTTATTGCAAGGCAAATTTTTGTCTTTAAAATTGTAAAAAAAACAAAACTGAGGTTTTTGGAAAGAAAGGCGTTTATTTTTAGAGCTTTGCCAAACGTAAAAAGAGCCGCTAAAACGTGCCACAAGAAAGCGAACAAAAATTTTTAATTTCTGGAAGGTACCCTAACGATAAGACCTAGATGTGGCCTTCTGCTTCTCTTCAAATTATGTCGAACAGCTCTGGAGAGGCCACAAATCAACTGCTGAAAAAGTTCGGTTACAGCTCAAAGCCATCACTTTGCAAGCCAACACTTAAACTTACAAGGGAAGTATAAGTTACCGTAAGAATTCAACGCTTTCCCAATTTCAGGCCATAAAAAATTCACTTATTAAAATTTATCGATTCACAGGGGAAGTACTCCAAGTGCGACGCTCAGATTTTCTTTATATGTTGCGCACATGTCAGGCAGGAACTAAATATCAATTCCTGAAAGTTTTAGCTCGCGCTTTGCAAGCGCCGCCGAGATATTGAACGATCTTTGCCGCCGAGAGAGTACGCTAAACGCAAAGAACGGTCAGAGAAAAACACTTTTTGGCCATAACTTTGCCAATTTCAAATAAAAAATTATTATTTTTTCTGGAAGCATTACTTTCAGCAGCAGAAATAGGCACAAAATTTTTCGTGCTGAAATTCAACAAAAATTGTCGAATTTTCGCCCACTTTCGATCTAAAAATCTAGGTTCTTTCTGCAGAGCGCGAGCTATGATTCTCGCATATATTTCGGAAAAAAATTTTCTAAATTTGTGCCAAGTTTCATCAAAATTTGAGCGTCGCACTTCGGGTACTTTCCTTGTTAGGAAAGTCGGCCAAAAAATTTTTTTTCGGTTATTTAGTTCTACGCAAGCAAATACCAAGATTTCCTCAATTTTTTTTATTTACAACTGATATATATAAACATTTATAACGCGATAACCGACAATCTATTGAACTTTTTCCTTTGCCTCGGCTCCCGGTTGACTCATTTGACCGGCATTTCCGACTCTGGGGAGAGCAATTGGAGTGGGTTTGCAAATGAAACGGTTTTGTTTCAGCAATTCGATAGCAATCAAATTCATATCGGTGTATTCTGAAAAGGTGGTGTACGATTAAGTAAGCCAAAGATAAAAGAGTTTTTTGATTTTGCAAAATTTGGGTCAAGTCTTTCCTTCAGATATAAGCTATGGGTCAACTGTTCCCCTTGCTATTTCGGACTTAAAAAGTAAAGTAAAATACGTTTTGCATAAATTGATGCACTTTTGACTCAGTCAGCTGCTTTCTATTTTTTGGGTCAAGTCTTTCCTTCAAATATATGCTATGGGTCAACTGTTCCCCTTCACAATCTCAGACTTAAAAAGTAAAAAATGCGTTTTGCATAAATTGATGGACTTTTTACTCAGCCAGCTTCTTTCTATTTTCCGGGTCAAGTCTTTCTCTCGAACAAAAATTAATGGGTCATCTGTTTCTCTGACGTTTTCCAAAAAAAGTTGATGTAAAACCTGACAAGTTAACATTCACAATGCCAAAATAAACAAGAATTTTCAACAAATCTCAGGCAAAAACTCCACCTACTGTCCAGAAGCGGCTCTTTTCCCTCCTGAAGCTCGTAATAGATCCTCCTGAGGGCCCAGTGGTAATCGGTGACGTATTCCGTAGCCGGAAACATTGGAAGTTCAATAAATTTGGTCCCCAGCACCAAATAAATTGCACCTCCAATCATGCAGCCGGCCACGTAGGTCCAAAAGTTTATCATGTGAATTTCCTCAGGACAAACGGTGGTTATTTCGGGCGTGGGGACCGAGAACTCGGAGGACTCGGTGATATAGGCCATTTTCGACGACGGCTGAGATTTTGAGGGCCAAGAATGGAATGAGCAAAATTTGAAAAATGTAGAAAAAATTGGAAAAATTTATTTTTTGAAATGATTTTTTTTTTGTTTTTTTTTATTTCCGTCAAAAATCATTTTTTTTTAAATTTTTCACCAATTACATTTTCTCCACTGAACGGTGGTATTCATCGACATTTGAAGTCGTCTCTGGCCTTAGAAATGGCTTGCTCCTCATATCCACCTCTTGAGGCAAGTGATGTCATCAATTTATTTTTTTTTGTTGCCAAATGTCTAGATGTAAAAATCGTGGAACTTCCATTTTTAAGGTAAAACTTCTTTTTCTGGTCCGGAGCCAGTTTCTTATCGAAAATTGTCAAGCACGGCTCGCAATAAAAGTCTAGAAAGAATTGTAGGAAAAAGTTCCTTATTTTGGCCACAACAAAGGTATAGCAGTAGCTCTATAGTTTTAAGGGTACCTACGAAGGCTGTGACGACTCATTTAGTTCCATACTGAGGCAATAAGTTTAGTTCCGGACATGTTTCATCGTATAAAGTGAAAAATCACAGGCTGCAGCCGTTTTTGAAGGGTAAGGTGGTACGTAAAAAAGAAGGTACCTCTCTAACTAAATCCACTGTCCGGGCATTGACCACGATGAATTGAGCGTGCACGCTAAATTTGGGCTAATTCCGACCAGTTTCCGCAAAGTTGTAAGTTGTGGCCAAAATAAGGAACTTTTACCCGATTTTTCTCCAGCTGCGCCCTTGCTTTAGCCTGAATTTTGTAATCACAATTTTTAAACTTTTTATGGATAAACTAATATAATAATTTTTTACTCTCAGATGATCATCCTACTCGTCTTTTTTCTGCTGACATGGGGAATTGCGATGGTCGTCTACTCTCAATACTATTTCTGGAGCAGAGGCTTGAGTCAAAAGGCGGTCAGGGAGCGAATCAAGGAGTGCTTGAAGTGGGAGATTTGATTGTTAGAATTTGCAGTTGTCCTGAATAAATATTTTGTTATAATATTTTTTTGAACTTCGAATTTTGTTGTCGAGAGTATTTAATCGATTTTTTAATTATAAGATTTTTCACAGACATCTTCTCAAAGGCTTAGCTCTTTTTTTTGGCCAAAGTAAAGGGAGATTTTGGCATTTTTTGGTGAATAAAATTTTACAAAGTATTATAGTTTCTATCTGGATGGGCTTTGTGAAGTTTCTTTTTAAACCCAATTTTAGCAAAGCTGGCTTTCCTTGTTTTACGTTAGCTCTCACAATTTTAAGCTTGTTAAATTTTTCAAAAATTGGCATGCGAAGCAGAAGCACATGCCAAAATGAATCTTTTTGTACTATACACAACGCACGTCCACTACAACAAACTTGGCTTGTTGTAGCGGAGTATGACCACATTTTTACAGCGTAATCGCAAGTATTTGTTGCCTTTTTCCCCACAACCACTCTTCAATCAAACCTTTGTTTACTTCTCTTAAATTTAATAATATAATACACTTGTTGTAAACTTGTTGTTGAGCCATTAAATGGACGACTTTTTGATCTCGGCGGTTCTGATTGCGTTTATCATATCAGCAAACTTTTTCTGGCTCTTGAAGAACTGATTCCGCGGTCGGCCTGAAAATAAACATCACTTGTTGTAGTCACAAAATTCAAGCTTCAAACAGAGAAAACTGAAAGACTGGACTCACTTCCATCGACATCGTTGATGCCAAATTCATCGGCGATTTCATCGGTCAGAATGATTTTACCCGTATATTTGAAGGAATCAGGGCTTGAGGCAATTTTACTGAGACATCGACCGGCAAAATAAATACTCTCACCATCCTCGAAAAGCGCTGGATCGGTCTGAAATTTGATGAATTTAGAGATTTGAGCGGTAAAAACTTTTATTCTTAATGTAGATAAGGTGGTAGAAAAGGGCATACCTTTCCTCTTCCCGCCAAAATTGTTTGCTGAATAATCTCGGTTTTCACAGCACCTGGCCACAGAGAGATTGAGGTAATTCCGTAGTCTTGAAGGTCAAAGGCCATGTCAGCGGCAAGACGGTCGCACTGAAAAGGGATATTGTTGAATTTTGATAAATTTTTTTTACAAACATTAATGGACATAATGCCTTTTTTTGGACCAAACCTAGCTATTCTTGTTTCAAAGATTTGGATTTTCATATTTTGCAGGCACAATGGTATGTCATATGATCCGTATTAAAAGTCTAGATCTAAAAAGTTCTGATATTTAGACCGGGAATCAAAGAAAATTTGTGTTATGTGTTATATTGTCCAATAAAAAATGACCCTCTTTGAAAGGGGCAAAGTTTAAAGCCTCTAAAAAAGGCAAGCGATGGTGGAATTTCGAAATATGACATCGTTTTGTAGCTGAGATCTCAGGCTTTCGTTTGAGATATCTCTTACAATATTTGGACCAAACCACAGTAATTTAGCCCTAACCTAAAATTATCGAAAAAAGGTCGGTTCGAGCTGTCATCGCGTATGGGCAAAGAGGGTCATTATTTGTTGAGCTGCCTAATATTATAGAATCAGGAAAGCTGGCCGAAAATACCGCCTTAGCAGCTACAGATGAATGGCTGGGAGATCCTTATAGACCTCGAACTTTCGAGCCCAAAAAGACACAAATTTTCGTTTAAAAAATCCGTAAGTTTTGCCAAGCACAAGCCAAAAACTTCAGATATCTCTGAGAACACCGCACGCTAAATTCAACGCCGTCTTTTGCTTTGTAATCCCTTGTACCTACCGCTGACTTGCCCACTCCATACGGGATGTTGAATAAATGTTTGATTCCTCCGGGCGAGCTGACCGTGCAAATCAACCCACTCTTTCTCTTCACCATCAATCTCGCCGCATATACCGAGCAAATGTAATGGTTTCTCAGCCCCACATTGTTCACCACATCCCACGCGTATTCCGGTTCTTCCGAATATTCGAAAAACTTTTTGTCCACATTCTTCCCGATGTATTGAACTGCCGAATACGCATTGTTGACAAGAATATCCAGCCTTCCTGACTGTTCTTTTTCAATTTTTTGGAACAATTTCTTCACATCATCAGCTTTACTGTGATCACAATACGCGACGATCCCGTGGCCGCCTTTGGCCGTGATTTCTTGCGCGACCTCGGCTAGAGTGGTTGTGGAGGGAAAGTTGAGTGCGTTGTCGGGGGAGCGCCCAGTCACGTAGACGGTAGCGCCAGCAGCACCAAGCTCAACGGCTATTCCTTTGCCGATTCCTCGAGAGGCACCTGTTACGACGGCGATTTTTCCAGCTAATGACATTCTATAAAACGATGGATTTAAAGGGTAAAATACAACAGAGTGAAAAAAAAACGGAAAGTGAGAGCTGCTTCGAGTAGTTGGAGAGGGAAAATTTTTGTTTTTTTTTGTTAAGCTTTGGATCGGGTTTAATCCGTTGAAAACGAGATCATTTTTAAAAGACAGGGATTGGAAGGTATAATTGTCTGCGATTTTTGATCAGTCTAGATGGTATACTGTTCATAAAAATTTATAAAAATCACCAAAAAGATCTTCGCAAATGAGACTATGGAAAATAAGGATAGCCTACAAAGGGCAAAAGATTTTTTGGGCCATATCCTTGCAAATTTTTTGCAAGTCTTCAAACTTGCATACAATTGAATTATGCCTACTTCTGCTTATTTGAATTCTCAGTAGCTTAGCAGCACACTCTAAAAGCCTAACAAGGGAAGTACCCCAACTTTTTTTCGACCGGAAATTATGCTAGATCACAGAGAGGGGAGAGAAAAGCAAATAAATTTTTTTTTCAGTTTGTGACTATTTTTAACAAGGGAAGTACCAAGTGCGACGCTCAGATTTTCTTTAAATTTTGCACACATGTCGGTCATGCACTAAGTATCAATTCCTGAAAGTCTTAGCTCGCCTCTTGCAAGCGCCGCCGGGAGAGCACACTAAACGTGGAGTGGTCAGAAAGAAAAACACTTTTTGGCCATAACTTTGCTATTTTCGTGCGAAAAAAAATAATTTTTTGTGGAAACGTTACACTGTATGGTAGAATTAGGCATGAAACTTTTTGTGCCGAAATTCGGAAAAATGTCTTAAATTTTGGCCGACTTTTGAAGTAAAAATCTCGGTTGTTTCTGCAAAGCGCGAGCTAGGATTCGAGTATATGTCGTAGAAAAAAATATTCTAAATTTGTGCCAAGTTTCATCAAAATCTGAGCGTCGCACTTGGGATGCTTCCCTTGTAAGCTGATTACAAATAAACTCCCTAAGTTTGGATGTTAAAAAAGACAAAGTTAGAAGAGTCAACTTTTACCCAAACTCCCCCTCCTTCCAAAAGAGTTTCTCTTAAAAAAGCAACAACTATAAATGTTTCACTTCTTCCCATCTCCATCAACACTGATCTACACTCCATCATTAAACATGGTAATTACCTTTGCACTCCGATTTCTCTGTTCGTCGAAAAAATGCCGGGACTAGAAGACTTGTGCCTTGAACAGAAAACAAAAAGGGAAACCGCATGCTAACGGGACGATCGGTGGCTTTTTCAACTCTTATTTTTGGGGAGAAAAAGATGAACTGATCGGAAATCGGACGAGACAAAAATTGTATCATGATGCCGGCGGGCGAAAGTACGCATTTGGAATTTGCCGGTAAACAGAGAGGGCTGAAAAACAGGGGATGAAAATGAAACTGAAAGGAACTGGAACCGGAAGGTATGGTGAGCAAAATGTGTTGATCACGGTACATACATTGTGTCATTTTACATTCTTAAAAAGTTTACAACACGTTTAGGTATTTTGGGGGTATTTAATACATAGTATTTAGATATGTGGTACAAATCGGTGAGTTAAAAACAAAATATTCATTTTGGGTAGGGTTTTTTCGTACTTCTAGTGTAACTCCTTCAAGATAGAGTTTGCGCACTGAGGCACACAGTAGAAAGAACTCAATCTTCAAATCTGCTTACAGTATCCAGAAGATTTCTCATGAATTCAGCGGCTCTGAGCGCAATCTTCTTTCAAAGGACAAGTACTGGAGAGAAAATGAACAAATTTATTTATGTAATAACAACATCATACCTGACACAATTATTTTATGAATCTTCTAGAACGCTTGTCCAAAGTGCTGGCTTGTGAACACCACTCTGATTTTAACGCTCTAAACTGCTTGGAATCCGAAAAATTCAGCAAAAGTTATGTTGGTGAAGTTATGTTTGGCCAAAATCTGCAAGTTCTCGGTTTCTGAATACAGTGGACCTTCAGTGGCAAGAAACGGGCCATTTTGCATCCGGGAAGTATCAAACAATGTGGCAAAATACCTCCCTCTCCAAGTGAAAAAACTCCAATTTCAAAAACGCACCCGCTATTTTTGTGAGAGAAGCCCTCCGAGACGGAGTTTTTTAGTTGGAAAGGGAGGCATTTTGCCACATTTTCGAAACTTCCCGGATTAGTGTGAGGGAAGCCCTTCAAAACAAAGCTTTTTAGTTGGAAAGGAAGGCATTTTGCTACATTTTTTAATACTTTCTGGATGCAAAATGGTACGTTTTTTTCACTGGATCAGGTCTGCCACTGTACGTATGTATTATGATTTGCAGTTCCTTAGCCGTAGCTGTCGGACGATCAACTAAATATTTATATAGCAAACGCCTGTCTCTGGCATTACTGGAGGTCCGTCTTGCTTTCAGTACAATCGAAATTATAAAATGGTGTAAGCTTTTCTTCTAGCTCCAAAATTTTCACTAACAACTTTGTTTTTTATAATAAAAGTGACCCCGACAGCGACAAAGTTGCTTACCAAGGAAGTCCTCATTTCATTCACTTCTCCCGCTCTTCTTTGAATTGCACCAATAAACGTTCTAGTGTATCCGTGATCGTCACCATACTACACAAAATGTGCAGTGTTTTGTGCGGTTGCTGCAGCTGCAAGGTTTTGTGTTTTGAAGTTGCCAAACGTGTCCAAAGTCCACGAGAAGAATAAGGTGACTAGATGTACTATTGCATAAAACTGGACTCTATAAAGAGGCCACTTTCTTCAACATGCCTCAAAGTAAGAAAAAATGATTTATAACGCACGGATCGGATCGCTTATAGTGGACGAGTGGTTATTGTGGGATGCCGAAGACCAATTATCATGCCTGGCGAAGCAGGGTTTTCATTTATTTTAGAGAATTTATGATATATTTTTCTTATAAGAACTGTCATCAGTAAGCCACAGAAAAGGCCACTGCTGATTTTTATCACGTATTTTACATAAATCTACAGTTTGAAAGAGATTTTTAATGTAAAAATTGCCTGAGCTTGTAAGGATTTGTTTGTTTTTTTGAAGCTACTGGATGTATGTTTACAGACCTACATCCACAAAGTTAATTTTTTAGCATCTTGATTGCTTTCAAGGCCGTTTTTTGATAGCTAATTTTGCCTGCGTTTTATCACGTTCTTGATTTCAGCTTCCATAGCAAATGATGTGTGTTTCCACTGAATTTTTTTGATACAGGAACCACTGCACTTTACCTTCACTTGAATTTTATTCACCGTTTCATTTCCCCTACAATCCATTCACTGTGCTCGTCGTAGTATCCGTTCGTTGACCTCGTGGCATGGCTCGTGCTTGTATTTTGTGTTCCGTTGTAAACCTCGCCAATTAAACTTCATATCGCCGGCAATCAATTTGGGTTTGATTCCGCTTCGTGGCGACGTCCTTATTTAAACGTTTTCCTTTCTTGATTGACTTACTCCTTTGACGCCAAACTCACCGCCGCAGAGACATATGCGCATACGAAGGTGGGGTGGTAGCGTTTCGGACATGTGTAGTTTTCGTATTCTTGCAGGGATCACGCTGCTTTCAAAGCACGCATGATTATGTCAAAGACGATAAAAATTTGAAGGATGGGCGTGGGGTGGGGGAAATATTAAGGGGCGTTTAGAGTGGCGTCTTATTAGTTGCGGGTTTTGCGATCACGGTTTTAAGATGGCTCTATCATTACCTTGGGTTCTCTTAAAGATTTTTAGTTTAATAGTTTCAAGCCTGCTGTTTTAGAGACAACTCTCAGCGACATGTATTTATTTATAGACAGACTGAGTTAAAACACTTTACCCTTAACAACAAGTTGATGTTTTAGAAAAACACTGCACTTTATCTTTAGATCATAAAATAAAAATTACTCTTCAGATTAGCACGCCTAGCCTTTCCCATTTCCTTCGACGGGAAAAGTCATTTCATGACAACCGCCTTTGTTGTTATCTAGAAAGTTTTTTGAAGGCCGTCATTAGGTCCTGGTCGTAAGAGTATAATAAACTTGGTTGATATGTAATTATTAACAACATTTTTCTTTCTTCTTTGCTTTCTAAGGGTAAATGTATGCTAGACAAAGTATTTCTTTAAATTTTACTTGCACTTTCAAAGAATCTGATTCGATTGCAAAGCCGAGAAATTCATGTTTTGTGTAGGAGAGAATACGTAAATAAGTATAATAGATCTGGTCTGAAAAAACAGAGCGTTTTGGAGGCAGATTTCCCTATTTGGTGAAAATTATTCTGGCAATTAGTATATACATGTAATTTCACAATCATTTTACAGTGACCGGCCCGATCCAGTGGCCAAAAACGTACCGGTTTGCATCCGAGAAGCATCAAAAATGTGGCAAAATGCTTCCCTCTCCAAGAGAAAAAACTTTGTTCTGAAGGAAGCGCCTTTTTCCTCACAAAAAGAGTGGGCGCGCTTTTGAAATCGGAATTTTTTTGGCTTGCAAAGGGAAGCATTTTGCCACATTTTTGATACTTCCCGGATGCAAAATGGTACGTTTTTTGCCACTGCATCAGGTCCCCCACTGTAGTTCAAATCAAAAATATAGCACCCCAGCATTTCGGGTTAAACTCGATTTGAAAGCTATTAGTTTTCCAATGCTGTAAGCCTCAGACTATTTGCATTTTCCCTGTTTGATCTTTATCATTCTGTTTCCACCTCTTCATATCTATTTTGTCATCGTCCTAATTCTACGGCTTTGCCACCTTCTATCCTCTTACGCCCTGAATTTCTGATCAAAAACATTCTTCCTGTTGTTTTTCCTAAAATCTCTTACACTTTATGTCTCCCATCTGCAAGACAACCTGTAAAAAAGCGGGAAATGAATTCGATTGTTGACCACTCCACTTGTATGTAATTGATCTTTACCTTTTATCGAGAAAATGAAACCACCCCCTATGGTAAGACAAAGCCTTATCACGCCACAATTATTGAAGCCGTTCGCGGCCGGACACTTGTTTCTTTTGTCTTATCGACTATAAAGCAACTCCTATCATCGATACGCTTTGCAGTTTGAGGTTTGTTACTCTTTTGCTCATGGCTTCAGATTTATATATATACATATATATATATATATATATATATATATATATATATATTATAGTAATAAATTTTCTTTGCGTTTTCTTGATCTTGTTGGCGTCTTGTAATTAGTAAATTTTGTCACATTTTTTACTTTACATTTGGCATATATACCTTTTCTAAATTTGCAGATCAGCAGCTCAAAATGCCCTCGAATTCGCGGCTTGGCAACTTCGAAGTGCCGGACTTGTCCTTCAACGAGTACTTTATTGGCCACTTACTGGAGAAGGTGAAACAATACCCCAACCGAAAAGCTTACATCTCGGCCGAGAACCCGAGTGATTTTGTAACTTTTGAGCAACTCTACAACAACATCAAGATCATCGAGACTTACTTGTTTTCGATTGGCTTCAAGAAAGGAGATGTTGTCATGATAGCGTCACAAAACTGTTGGCAATACATTGCGATTTTTGGAGCTGTTGTATCGCGAGGAGGGGCGTTGAGTGGGGCCAACTCGGATTTCACTGCCTGTAAGTTATTTTGCCAAATTTATTGGGGATATCAATGGTTTTGAGATGAAAATCTTGAGATTCCAAAGGCCAAGGGCTTGAATATAGCTGGGGTTTTCCAAAGATGCCCTGTTTATTGTCGAAATTTTTATTCTCCAATTTTCAGACGAGCACAATCGCCAGATCAAGGACTGCGGAGCCAAACTCGTCTTCTGCTCCAGCGACACTTTATCCAAGATCCTCGAAGCCACCAAGGGCCTCAACGTCAAGGTGGCTTTGATTGACGACAACCCGAAAGTCAAGTTGCCCGCTGGAGTCGTCCGGTTCTCCGACATTATAAAGACCAAGCCAAAGAAGTTGCCCGTGCCAAAGATCGACAAAGAAAAAGACCTCGTTCTTATCCCATACAGCTCTGGAACCACCGGAGATCCGAAGGGAGTCATGATCAGCCACAAAAACATTGTCTCCATGCTCGAGGCCATTGACAGGTAAGGGAGGAGTCGTTGCAAGTCGTTGCAAACCTAGCTCAAGTTTTTGATGACTATATGTAGCTTCTCTAAAAGAGTTTTTAAAATCCTCGATAGTTCCTGAAAAACAAGTGCCTGAAAATCTTCTAAATACCAACAGCAAGCTAGCTGGAATTTCTTAACAGTCTTGAGAGATCAAAAAAAATTTCAGTGAGGGACCTGATCCAGTAGCAAAAAACGTTCCATTTTGCATCCGGGAAACATCGAAAAATGTAGCAAAATACCTCCTTCTCCAAGTGAAAAAACTCCGATTTCAAAAACGCGCCCACCCTTTTTGTGAGGGCTTTTCAAAACAGAGCTTTTTTGGTTGGAGAGGGAGGCATTTTACCATGTCTTTTGATACTTCCCGGATGCAAAATGGTACGTTTTTTGTCACTGGAGCAGGTCCATCACTGTACATATCACTGTGTCATTCTTCCGTTTTCAGATACTACGACAGAAACCTGATGGGCTCCCTCGGCATCGAGATGGAAAAGGAAACCATCTGCCTGATCATGCCGATGTTCCACGTCTACGGTTGTTGTGTTTGTGCGAACGCGGTGATTCGCGGAACCACTACGGTGTTGATGAAAAAGTTCGACTTTGAGTTGCTGTGCAAGACAATCCAAGAGCATAAGGTGAGAATTTCTGGAGCAAAGTTCACGCAAAAAATGCGTTCAAAAATTTAATTGGCTAACGAGAACAACCTTGATTCTTTGATGTAAATAGGGATGTTGGCGGAAAGAGTGGGATGATAAGAAATCAGGTGGTCATTAAGAATGGCTCAGTTCATTGCGCGGGGAATTTAGTGTGTAATTTTGGCGATTGTCTACATAGTTTGGAGATGACTGCTTTGATGGAAATGTTGCGAAACAAAAGGCAGAGGTGTATCAACAGAATTTTCCTAAAAACAAAATCGAAAAAAAAATTTTTTGCATTGTATTAAGTCGTCCAGAAAGTTCGTTCGTCTTTTCATTGCTGTTTTACAAGGATTATTTGTTCTTTGGCAAATGGAATAAATTTATTTGATACAGCTTTTTCCCCTCTGCAAGACTGGCTGTATCAAATAAATATATACCCTTTGCCAAACACCATACAATCCTCGTAAAACAAAGCGATGAAAAAACGAACGAACTTTCTGGACGACCTAATACAACAAACTGAAAGTCACAAAATTTACCTCACAAAATTTTTCAGGTTAAAGTCCAATTCCTTGTCCCAATGATTGTCCTCCTCCTCGTCCATCATCCCGCCGTCAGCAAGTACGACCTCAGCACTCTCAGAGTCATCCAGTCCGGCGCTGCTCCGCTGGGCGCCGACATCTGTGAACTGGCCGCGAAAAAGTATCCTCATCTGCAAGTCCTCGGACAAGGCTACGGAATGACTGAAGCCACTGTTGGCACTCATTTCCTGGCCAACAGTAAGACCAATTTTGCGCAGACAGGCTTGTTGGCACCAAACATGCAAATGAAGATCATTGATCCGGAAACCGGAGCCGAAGTGCCTCCGGGCAAGGAGGGAGAGGTCTGTGTTCGAGGCCCTAATGTGATGGTGGGATATCTGCATAAGCCGGAGGCTACCAACAACACGATCATTGAGGGCTGGCTTCACACCGGTAAGGAATTGTTTTCAGACTTCTTCCAACTAACGGGGGAAGTACCCCAAGTGCGACGCCCAGATTTTGATGAAAGTTGGCACAAATTTAGAATAATTTTTTCTAAATTAAATGCGAGAATCCTAGCTCGCGCTTTGCAGAAAAAACCGAGATTTTTCGATCGAAAGTTGGCGAAAATTTGACACTTTAGCGCAGATCTTTGATTTCCCTCAAATTTTCTTGTACTTCCCCTATGAGTCGTTAATCCTCCTTTTTAACCGACTCTTATTTTAGGAGACATTGGCTACGAAGACAAGGACGGCCTCCTCTACATTGTGGATCGTCTGAAGGAACTGATCAAAGTCAACGGCTTCCAAGTCCCTCCAGCTCAACTTGAAGGTCTCTTGACCTCTCATCCCGCCATTGCCGACGCTGCTGTCATTGGAATTCCCGATCAACGAGCTGGCGAATTGCCAAAGGCATACGTTGTGAGGAAATCGGACTCTTTGACTGAAGAGGATGTCAAGAAATTCGTCGCTGACAAGACCGTTCACTACAAACACTTGCGAGGAGGTGTTGAATTCGTTAAGGAGATCCCCAGAAGTCCTTCGGGGAAGATCTTGCGGAAGGACTTGAGAGCGCTGGAGAAGAAGAGAGCTCAGGCCAAATTGTAGGCCCAGACGGGAAAATAATTTTAATTTTCTAATTTTTTTTTCAATACAAGTTTCTATTCTACTTTCATGATACTATTATTACTACAACTTTTTTCTCCATGATTTTGTTGTTTTGCCATAGTGTTCAGACCAACTTCACAATAAACGACCAAGGTTTGTTCACACCGTATTTTACCAATCATCTTCTGTTCGTGCAAGCGTAATTATTTAACACAATTTTCACTTTCACAAAGTCCCTGGACATTTGTTGCGGTCCGCACCGTGCACAAAAATCCCCGATTTTTTGCACCGTGCACTCGACTTTTTTCGGGTTTGCACTGTGCATTTGAAATATCGCCGCGATGCAAGCTTTTCTCGACTGCGCCGCTGCGATTTTGCTCAAATATGTGCACAGTGCGAATGGCGTTTTTGAGGTTTGCACTGTGCATTTGAAATATCGCCGCGATGCAAGCTTCTCTCAACTGCGCCGCTGCGATTTGGCTCAAAAATGTGCACAGTGCAATCAGCTTTTTGAGGTTTGCACGGTGCGCAAAAGCAAAAATCCACAGTGCGTTGGAAAAAAGGCACTGTGCAAAAAGGCAGTTATCCATTTAATCGCGAAAATAAAAAATCATAAGGAAACCGTTGAAAAATGTCGAAAAAGGAAAAAATACATAAGAATAGAACATCTTACACAAATGATTTGCCTTTGTTCATCATGAGAAAGATTTGTTTCATGTGGATTTCCACGCAATCTTGGAAAATTCCAATGTTCCGAGGGTGGACGGTGGCCTTCAGTTGATTCAGAGATTCCGCCATCACATTCAGCTCGTAATTTGAGTGCTGGTTTCGGTTTTGGCCGAGTTGTCGGATCTGAAAAGGTCGAAATTTTATTCATGACACTACCCTTGATAGGTGACTTAAACTGGGTAGAATTCGATTAAAAAACTAAAGGAATGACGCCAATTTGAATTCGCATACAAACTACAAGACAATATCTTTACAGAAACGATAAATCTATATGGCTAAAACCTTGTATGGAACCATTATATCAAAATTTATATTATCCATGATGACTAATATAATTTGGTTCAAAAATCAAACATAAATCTGCCAAACGCATTTCTACTTTTTCACAGCAAAAGAACAGAAAGCATTGATGCATTTAAACTCAAATTCATTGACTAATCTCAAAAAAATTATATTGCACATCATGAACAATATAAAAAATAACTTGATAAACAAGCTTGAGCAGCTGCTCATACCACTTACCTGCAGCAAAATCGCTGTTAATCGGCTGATTAAACCCAAAACATCCTTATTTTTCACATGCAAGCTGGCATTGCAATGCTTGACGATCTGAGCAGAATGTGCTTGCGAATGCTTTCTCAGCTGATCCGGCTTGTCCGACGGCAATGGCTCATTCAAATTCGTGACCAACAACTCGTTGTATTCTTCAATTCCATTCAAATACGAGTCCAACAACCGGTTTGCCAGCTCAAGTTCGGTCAAGATCTCGGCGTAGCGCTCTTGGAAGGTGATGGGATACTTATTAGAGACCATTTGAAGTCTTTCGGCGCGATCATTCATCAACTTCAGGTTCATTATGAGGGTTTGTTTGTGGGAAAGGACCTTGAACAGCTTCACCATGATGACCAACATCCGGAGGGGGAAATTGCCGACTTTGTCGTCTCTGGCTGAAAGAATACATTATCAAATGCCAAAACAGTTGAATTTATTACTTATTTTTATATATAAATATTATTTCGTCATATAAAAACGAAAATTTTATATTACACTACACATCAAGTACAAATCATCAAGTCAACCTATAAAAATTCAAGAAGTTCTTATTTGATACCTCACAAGTCTCATTAGAAGCCTCAAAATTATAAACAACCCCTCATAACAAGTTTTAAAAATCAAAAAATCCCAAAAAATTCAAAAAAAAATTTTAGTCTAAAACCTACGTCCAACGGCCGGCCTTGCTTGGAAAGAGAATGTAGGAGTCTGATTTGGTCCTCCGACCATCGAAACTACCCGGTGTTGCCTTGGATCAACAACAAAAGTGGGTTTTGTCAAGGGGTTATGGAGGTACGAATAGTTCTTGCTATTGTTGGCATTGTTCATCTCCAGGAAGTAGGAGATATTGAGAAGCTCCGGAGGGGTTTCTGGCATGACTTCTGTGTCCTAAAAACCAAATAAAATTTATAAAATGGGCTTACCTGTACAACAGATGGGGGAATCATTTCCTCCTTCTCAAAAACCACTCTGTAACCCTCATTCAATATCGCATCAATAGTTCCAGCATAGATCCCCTCTTTTGGATGACGAATCCGAGCAAAAACCTTACATCCAACCACATATTGTCTTGGCAATCGCTTCGGGAGGTCATTGTCCGGAGGCAACCTACAACACTGACCACTGTAAAGCTGTCGAATCTTCTTTCTCTTATAGTTCAGGGCTCTGCGCTCCTCATCGAGGAAGCTTTGCGAAAATCGACGGGGTTTTCCGATCAATCGACGAATTTCACGCCATTCGCTGAGTCGAAGTTTGAAGGTTTTGAGGTTGGGGAAGGTGTCTTGAATGAGCTGAACGAACTCATTCTCGTCGAGAAAGATCTGACGGTCCACGGCGGAGTAGAAGAACTCGGAAATCACCCATCTGAAAAAAGTAAGATGACATTTTTGGTGAAGGATTACATTATACATGGTGAAGGACAAAGATGCGGTCTAAATAAACGAAAAAGAGCATCAATGTGTGTTATTAGACCTTATTTGCCTTAGGAAGAATGCCAAGTGTACTATTTTCCAACCAAAATAGAAAATTTATATTGTACTAGGAGCCAATTATGCAAAGATACCCTAAATTTGAAACAAAAACAACAAAAATAAACTTACAATCTGGACCTTGGGTAGTGAAGAACGTTCTTGAGTCTTTTCAAATTACTCTTCAGGAACTTGGTGAGCTCATTGTATGGATAAGTCGCTGCCAACGTTCCGATGGACATGGGATACTCTCGAGGTTGTGGATAGTCGGCATAATCATCGGGATCATAAGCGACCACCTCTTCTTCAACCACTTCCTCATTCATTTGATCAACCGGGATTGCACTCATGTAGACTCGAGTTGTTGTGGTATTTTGTGGGCGCTGATAGGAGATCGTGGCTGGCATTCGGATTGGTCGGCTAGAATTATTACTTATAGACATTGTATAGGCAACTATACCTAAAAACCAAGGAAAATAAAAATAGAAACTCACGACTGTGAAGACTTTGACGGAGTTGGATCATAATGTTGAAGACGGCTAGACGGCTTCGGCGTCTCCCGGAGCCGATAGCGAGCAGGAGCCTGATTCGAGGCTCTCCCTGACATTACACGACCTAAAGCAATATTTTGTTACCCATAATCTTTGGAAATCAAGCCTTCGCTCACGTGTACGTAACAAAAAAAAAGAAAAACAGAAGAGACCATTTATAATATAACTGAAAAGCCTCACAAACCGTACAAAACAAATAAAAAACATATATCACACGCATCAGCAAAACGCGCGGATCTACTATAGAAATCCACAAAAAAAAATCGACGATTTTATTTTCAAATTTTTTATTCTCCATAAGATTTGAACACACAAAAAACCGCGGCGAGAAAAAACGCCAGACAAATCCTCGTCGCATCGCCTCCCGAGACGAAAACAAATGCCTGCCAAACAATGGAATTGCTTTGGCATTCTGTTCCGCAAAAGAGAAATGAGACAGCGCACTTTTTGACGAAGAAGGAGAGAAACGAGTGGGTCGTGAAAAGAGTGTGTCTTTCTCGCTTCTCGGCGAAAAAGGAACCCGTAACAAAGCAGACAAACGGTTTATCGGGGCCTCAGATTGGGAACCGTTCTGTGTCTCCAATGATGATAACCCTAGCTCTCCGAAGGCTTATATGTCGAGAGTTTCTGCGTTCCCTAATCTTTTGCATTGTCCGAGGAGACTAAAATACGAACGAATATTCTAATTTCGATGTTTTTTAGAGGTTTGGACTTCTATCACTTCACTTTTACCCAGTAAACTTCAAATTTTCTGTTTATTTCCATATATAAAGACTCTTTGGGCAATGAAAAAGGGGAAAATACATACCCAAGAAAAATCAAGTAATATTTCTGTAGATTACAATGCATAGATACGATCGGAGGAATATATTGGGATGGGGATGCGAAACAAAAACAATGAGAGGTTCACGGATCAGAAAGAGTAAAAGTAAGACACAAACAAACTATGAGTTTAGACATTGTGAAGGGGCAGAGGGTGCAGAAAAAGGTCGTAAAATACGACGTAAATGAGTCTAGTGAAAGTTTGGATACATTGTGGATAAAGCTGGATGGGATTAGACGGCTTACAAGTAAAATGGAAATTCTGTCTTGAAACACGGTAGAAAGTCATATTTAGCCAAATGAATCGAATAAAAACTTTACCAAAACAAAAAATGAATAAACTACATTGTACAACAACATTGTATTAGAATGGGGCATGTTAGTCTACCCACAACAAAGAAGGGTTAGAAAATTGTATTTGAGAAAACAGTGGTACAAAATCCTGACGATTTGGCAGGCTAGTTCCGTCGTTGGCGTCGGCTGAAATTCAAAAAAATATTTTTTTTTGAAACATGTCAACCCTATTTTTCAAAATTTTAAAAATCAATCCAAATCGCTCCACTTACTCATCCTGACGTTTGTTTCCATAGCCACCTCCTCGTCCGCCGTCTCCTTGTGGTTTAAATCCGGGGTTTTCCCGTCTTCCCGTACCTTGTCTGTTGTCTCGGTTGTCATATCTATCTCTACCGTATCCTCCTTGTTGTGGTGGGCCATCATGTCTCGCGGAATTATTGAAGACCCTTGGCTCGAATTGTCTTTGATCTCGGCGGTCTCTCGGTGGGCCATTATTCCGTTCGTTCCGATGTTGGCTTCTTTGCTGTTCTTGAGCCCTTTTGGCATCTCGTTCTTTGATGAACTCTCTTAATTTTAACGCCGTTTTCTGCAGTTTGAACTCCTTGTCGCCAACTAAAAACTCATTTTCGGTTAGAAAATACAATCCAAAAAAATTTTTACAACTACAGTGACGGACCTGATCCAGCGGCAAAAAAAAACGTACCATTTTGCATCCGGGAAACAACAAAAATGTGGCAAAATGCTTCCCTCTCCAAGTGAAAAAACTCCGTTTTGAAGGGCTTCCCTCACAAAAAAGAGCGCCTTTGAAATCGGAGTTTTTCATTTGGCGAGGGAAGCATTTTGCCACATTTTTGATACTTCCCGGATGCAAAATCGTACATTTTTTGCCACTGGACCAGGTCCCCACTGCAAAGAAAATTGCTTACCTTGCGGGCAGAAGTAAGAAACATGAGCGTTTTCACCGGTCGCCTTACACACTTCGCATTGTTTCTTCTGCAGTTCAGGGCACTTTGTCTTCAAATCCCGTTCCCTGAGGACATGACTTGAGTACACCGAAGCGGGTTTCTTCAGCGATCTGCACAAACTGCATTCCACAACCTGTGGGTGTTGTTGTTGTGGGGCCCTTCTCCATTGCTCATCCTGCCTTCTAGAGTAATTGGATGCCGTTGAAGTGGAAGAAATCTTCCTCTCCAGTCGTTTTCGATCGCCTTGAAAGTCCTGGAACCGCTCCTGCCGGGGGTCATGTCGATTGTCCTGGAACCGATCATTCTTTCTCGGGTCGAATGCAGCCGCATTTGGGTCGGGGACGAACTGACTCGGGCTCTGAGTTTGACGGGTTTCTTCGCGAATCTCATGCAGAGGCGTGTGCCGAGACTTCCACGAACGCTGACTCTGGTCGTATTGATAGTTCGAGTTGACAAACTCTTTCCCCGCAATGTTGTTGGCCTAAAATCAGAAAAAATGCAAAAAAACAAACCACTTACCTGTTCCTCTTCGCCTTTGCTCTTATCCTCGATACTGGTCTGCTGTAGGCCTTCACATAATCCTTCAGTATCAGCGTCCAATGTTGAACATAACTGTGCTGTTTGTTCTGTTGACAGGGGGTTGAGTTCTTGAGGGGTTCCCGGCGGTGTGTAGTCATCAACCTCTTCACTGCCCTGCTGGCTTTCAGTGTGGGGAGCGGGCCTTCCAGCCGGTTCTTCGGGCTGATTTCCTTGGCTTGGATGCGGGCTGTTGAGGCGGGACTGGGATGGTGTTGGTTTCTGGTAAGGCTGAAACATAAAAAATTCTACATACAGAGAAAAAAAACAAACAAAAATCTTCCTCAAAAAAGTCTCCAACCCACCCCTTGGAATGAACCCTGTCTCGTATTAACGGGACGTTGGAACTGATTCGGGATCACTGTATGTTGTTGAAACTGTTGTGGAGGCTGTTGGGGGAACTGTGGTTGGAAATGGGGCTGGTGGTACATTTGGCCAGGGACAGGAGGGGGTCGGAACTGCGTCTGGTGAGCTGGATAATACATGGAAGGGTCGTATTCGACGGGCGGTTGATTCTCCACATAACCCATCTGGTTCGGTGGGTACATGTGTTGAAACATTGCGGGGTCGTCTTGGATTGTTGGCGGATATCCTACATGGGGATACGGAGGCGCTGTTCCTGATGGGGGAGGCTGGTCGGGGGTAGTCTGCCCATTCACTGCGGGTTTTTGGCCATTCTGAAGCTAAAACATTATAGCTCCTCAAAATGTTTACCTAAATTCCGAAAAAAATCGTTGAAAACCCTTACTTTACTCTCGGACTGAGTTCGCGAGAAGGTTTGGTGGGAATGTCGGCGGTTGTTCTGCCGGTAGCCGCCGTTTTGGCCGGGGTGTGGCTGTTGTATCATGTAGGGGACCTGTTGGAATCGGTTTTGGGGTATCATTGTGGGAGGGGGGAAATTAGGTGCGTAAAAGGTTTGAGGTGGGTTCTAAAATTCGAAAATCAAATAATTTCGAAAATACTTACTATAGGCGGGACTGATTGCTGTGTGATCAGTTGTGGAGGGGGTACAGGCTGTCCAGTTGCCAAGATCAGATGCTGCGGAATTTCCTGACCGTACTGTGGGGCGCCAGTCGAGACTGGAGCATAATATTGGAAAGGAGCTGGGGCAAAAACTTGCTAAAAGATCAGATTATATTTTTTATAAAAGCTTGTTCTAAAATTTCAAATTACAATATGATAACGTAGAAGTTATGATTCCCTACCTGTTGAGAGTGCACAGAAGCCGCCGAAGGGGAATTACGATCACTCGAGTTTTGCGAAGGAGCATGATGAGACAATGGAGTACCAACATGTTCCGCATGCTCGTCCTGAGCGACTGGATGAATGGGGTAGACAGCACCGGGAGGCACAGCAACCATTGCTCCAGGAACTTGCGGTGGAGGACCTTGATAATCTAAAAAAATTGATAGGACTTGGCCGTGATCTATACTAAAAACAATTTTCGACAAAAAACAGCTCCCTTTTCCAAAGAAAAACAGCCATAAATCCCCCTTTTCGGCGCAAAATGGATGTGAAACGTCAAGATTTCCCAGATTTTCCTTGAACCTAAAAATCGAGAAAGAAAAAGTTTAAAAAACCTACGAGTAAAATTCGGTCCTCGAACCATGTTCGGTGGCGGATTGGGGACTTGGCCCGGATTCTGACCTTGCGACGAGACGGCGTTGTACATCACAATCGGTTGGAGGGGCACGCCGCCCGTCATGTTCATTCTGGTCCAAATCTTTGTTGGTAATTAAGAGTGCGAATGGAAAAACTCGTTCAGCCTTGATCCCTGCCCAAATCCACCTTTGAAGTTGTTGGTAATCTCGTCGTAAGGGTCGGTATTTTTAAATACCGCAGTAAGAAGCGTGAAATCACGTGTGTGCGCAGGCTTGAACTAAAAGGCGAAAATTATATTGAAAAAACTAAAAATTATTTAACACGAAAAATTATGAATATTCCTTGTTCAGCCAAGGCCAAAAAAATAGACAAGTTAGAAAAAAGTCCCACCAACTTCCTCCCGCGCGATTTTCATCGAGCGATTAATATTTTTCGATAACAACAAGGGATTATAGCGAAGCGGTCACGTTCTTGACCTAAACCGCAAAAACTCTTCGCAAAAAGTTGGCGGTAACACAAAACTTACTATAATTTAGAGAAGAAAATTTTCAACAAAACCCCAGCCTTTCCGGTTATTAAAATTTCAACTCCCAATCTGACTCACATAACAACTCAAGACGGAGGAATATTATTTATAAAAAAAGAGCATAAAAACATTAGGAAACCACGGAATGAACACTAAAAATTTCTTCATCTTGTACCTGTTATCTGGATAAGTACAAACAGCAAAAAAATATAAAATTTTGCGGAGAGGAAACTTTGAAATTCCACTTTATTCTAATTACAGACCATTCGCTACAAAAAATGCAAAATTTTTTCCGAAAAATTATTCGCATCTTGACGAATCAGGGTTTTCGTGGCGGGACGCAGACGACAGGCGGGCGGAGAGTTTTCGAAAAAAATTTGCAATTTTTGCAAGCTCGGCTCAAAGTTGAGGCAAAAGAAGATCTCGGATAGATAGGATTTGCTCATTTTAATTCACAAATGGCTGCTGTTAATCTGGTTTTTTCAAAATATAACGAGAAATTCTTTTCTTATGGATATACGAATGAAAATTCAGGTAAGGGCTTGCTTTAAGTGTTATATTTTTAGTCGAATTTTGGTTTATGATGTCCCTAGCGCCTTGCTAGCGCTATTTGTGTGTGATACTTGCACTTGACAGTCATTAGTTTCCGCTGTTTTCTTGTTTTTATATTTTTTAGGTAACAAACTGCTAAAATTGTTGCAAAATACCTTTATTTATTGCTGCCTGGTTAGTTGTACTCCCCTCGAAGCTCTCTTTGATTTATCTTAGATCTTTCTTCAGGTCCAGTCAATGTTCTTGATTATTTACTGAATTCTCAACCGATAGTTGCCGAAGAAGACGAAAAAGAAGTGCCATTGGTGGAAGTGGAGTTGGAAGGTCGTCTTGTTATCAAAGAAAAGTCCAATGGAGGAGAGGAGCTCCAACTGGTTGGTGGTGGAGGTTTTGTTCAATTGGAATTGGGCAATGTGAATGGATTTTCGTATTTCTCCGGAATGGTATGTATAATATATTTTTTTTGTTGATTCTGCCTTTAGATTGAGCTCCAAGGCGCCTTAAATGATATTTTTAGAAAGTCAGAGTCAGATGTGTCCAAACGAGTCCAGGAGCACATTCCGCACAGATCTTGTCCGTGTGCCCATTTCCATCTTTACCTTTAGCTCAATTGAACGGCGATTTTGGTAAGCTAAGTTCGATTTTCTTTTGTTATCTTGATCTTTAGATTTTCTCCGAGTCTTCATGGGATTTGGCCCTCTTCTGAATGGCGACAGCTATGAGCACTTTGATTATTTCTTGAGCAAAGCCGCCTGTTCCAGCGCGTCGGCTCTGATTTTGGTAGGAGAATATAAATTTTGATTCGTTTCCTACCAAAATCTATTTGATGATCTATTCTGAATCTCTTTTTTTTTCAGTCAGGGCCTTTCTACAACCCAGCGGAGCCAAACAAAGCCGTTGAACAGACTCGAATCACGTTTGCGAAGATCGTAGAGAAGTTCAAAGGTCAGAAGACAAAAGTTTTGATCCTTCCCAATGCCAATAATGATGTGTTGAGCACGAATACCTTCCCCACGCCAGCCCAAAAGCCAAGACTTCTTGGACTTGATGCTTTACCGGAGGTAGGACTTAATTTTTGTCTAGTGTAATATAATTTTTTGAACTTTTTGAAAAATCAGTTATTGATGAAGCCGTTTTTATCCTCATGGATTAACAATCAGGTTTTTTTCTTTTCAGAACATCCAATTTCTCCCGGATCCGGCGATTTTCACGTTGAATGGGATTTCTTTTGTCGCCACAACAACAGATCCCCTCAAACATTTGGCGAAACTGGAAAGGTATTGCGGAGAATTGGCCAGTGGAAGTGATCGGATGAGTATTTTGTGCGAACATTTGTTGCAGTGAGTTTTTTTTTTTTTTTTTTTTTGACTTTTTAGGTAATAATTTTAAAAAAATTTTTTGTAATGGATGTACGAGTTATTAAAACGGAATCTGGAGGTCATAGCGACTTTTTGTGGCAAATGATAAAGCGATTTTCGTTTCAGACAACAGTCAGCGTGCCCAGTGACTTTTGGCCCAGAATCTGATGTCATGGTGAATATCCAAGGTAATCATTTCTCCCAACGCCCTCATTTCTTCATTGTCCCGTCGAATTTAGCCCCACTCAAGCGCGTAAGTTGGATTTTTTGTGGTTAAAATTCATTTTGTCGGCGCAAAAAGTCCTTGGAATTTTGCACCGTGCAGATTTGCTCGTTTTGGCGAGTCGCTGCGAAAATCGCGAAAAAAGTGGGCTGCACAGTGCATTTGACCCAAAAACACTTTTTGCACAGTGCATTCTTGTTTGCTTGTGCCTTACGTCGCGCGCGATTCCAATTTTTCACAGCGACGAATCATTTTTTTCAGAGCGCGACAGAAAATGTGAAAAAACCGCACGGTGCAAAATTCCAAGGACTTTTTGCGCCGACTGTTGTGACCAAAGTTGTCTGTTTTGCAAATTTGGTGCCTAAAGTAATGTAAATTTTGGCTGTAGAACGTTCAAAACACTGTGTTCGTGAATCCCGGTCGATTTTTATTTGGCCAGAAGGTGCGATACACCAAGCTTGACGTGAATATCAAGAGAGGACGAACGAATCACGCCGATTCCGTTGGATTTAGCGATTTTAGCTCCGTCGACAATCGAAATGAACCCATTGTGGAACAAAAACCAACTCAATAGGTTCTCAAATTGCTCCTCAAACATTTTATTTTTTCATATAAGTAATTTTTATATTATATACGAACTATGGATTACTGTAATATTTAATCATCATCATCACCATTATAATTGTTGAATGTAGTCGTCTCTTCACTCGGATAAACGATCGCCGAATTTCTTTCCTCCGTTGGAATCCCTTTGGTCAAACTGAAAATTTCAGTCTTTTGCACCCTCAAATCACTCATGCACATGTTATCTTCGGCCGTTCTATTTCCCAATTCTATTCGTCCGAGGTCGGCGTGCGTAACATTGCGTCCAAGTTCAAGTCGCTGCCAAATAATTCGGATTGGAATCGTTCTGATCACCTTGCAGCCATCGTTGACTCTGGTGTACTGAAAAGTGATCAGAATTTTAAGCAATTTTTTGGGTAACAACACTTAATACCAAGTGCAATATAATGAAACCAAAAATCTGCCCAAATAAACTATAGCCGAACTATTACAGTGGCGAACCTGATCCAGTGGCAAAAAACCTTTTGCATCCGGGAAGTCGCAAAAAATGTGGCAAAATGCCTCCCTCTCCAACTAAGAAAACTTCGTTTTGAAGGTGCCCTTTCCCTCACAAAAAGAGCTTTTCAAATCGGAGTTTTTTTTTCACTTGGAGAGGGAGGCATTTTGCCACATTTTTTGATACTTCCCGGATGAAAAATGATACGTTTTCTGCCAAGGATCACCGCCACTGTAATTGTTAGACAAGAGCTTATCAGGGCACGACTTTGGTTTCATTATATTGCGGTATCAAGTGCTATTACCCAAAAAATTTCTTACAATTTTGTTAATTCTCGACAAGTTCTGATTGCAAAAGTGTTCCACGTTCAAAGTGTTGCTATTTTCGTATTCACCGCTGATTTCAAAGGTTCCACCCGCTCCCGATGTGACGTTGGAGAGAAGTCTTCCGTCGGGGTATTCGTGGGCAAGAAGCCATACTTTGAGACCTTCCTGCGACTCTCCATTACAAACCAAGAGGCCCTTGATTGTGACTTTAGTCGCGGTTGAAGGAAGAGCGCTTAGGAAAAGGATAAGCGGGAGGAAAATCGACCGCATTGGTGGTGGAGAAGGACGAAAATAAAGCTTTTCCGAAGGCTGAATTGAAATTCGAATTTTTTTTTTTTTTTTTTTTTTTAGTAAAGGCCAAATGTAAAGATCAAAAAAAAACTTGTTTTTTTTCAAAATTTGCACCATCGAAAACCCATAAATCCAGTGTTCATTTCGACGGGAAACTTAATAAAATTGCACTACAAGTCTTTCCGGAAAGTCGCCGGACTGAATTGGCGACACGCACTGTGCGAAAGCAAAAGTTTTCTTTGCACTGTGCAATTTCTGGATTTTTGCTCCGTGCAATAGACATTTTTGGGCTGTTTCTTGCACCCTGACTTTTTCTGCACCGTGCAAACGTCAAAGATCAGTCCGGTGACTTTCCGGAAGAACCAGTACTCCATGTGCGACGCTCAGATTTTGATGAAACTTCAGACGTTTACAGTGTGGAACCCGGTCCAGTGGAAAAAAAACGTACCACTTTGCATCCGGGAAGCATCAAAAATGTGGCAAAATACCTCCCTTTCCAAGTGAAAAAACTTCGGTTTGAAGGGCCCGCCATTTCCCTCACAGAAAGAGTGGACGCGCTTTTGAAATCGGAGTTTTTTCACTTGGAGATGGAGGCATTTTGCCACATTTTTCGATGTTTCCTGGATGCAAAATGGTACGTTTTTTGCGACTGGATCAGGTCCACTGTAGATCAGTTTTTCCTGACGAGATTTTATAATTCATTTGCGTTATGATATTCCCAGCTTGTGCTTTGCATACACGACCGAGATTTTTAGGTCGAAAATTGGCAAAAATGTAACACACTTTTTTCGAATTTTGGCATTTGTGGCAGGTCTTATAATCTGAGTTCCGGGTAGAATAAATATTAACAATAAGTGTTTCCATGTTAATCCTATCAGATTTTTTTCCTTTACTTTATAGGTTTGAAATTCGATTATTATATTTTCTAACAACCCTTACTCCCTCTCTCTTTGCTACTTCATGTACAATTTTACTTTATTAAATGACATACACTCTCTAAAACCCCAAGAATTGAACTTTTCCTCACAACCTGTTTCCAAGGAAACAACGCTGGTTATGTCCATAAATCTTCACAGTTTTCTAATGTGCGGGAAATGTGGCCTGTGGTCATAGCTTACTTTGCAATTGCTGTACCTTCTTTGCTGATCTTCGCTTCGATGGTGTTGTATGTCATAGACGTGGGATTGGAGAAGAAGTTGTCGAAAGGGTTGATGCAGCTGGTGGTAGGTCATTTTAGGCTTAGTTTTTGGGAAGTCAGTAGCGGTGAAGTACCTTGGAGGAAGATATATTGAGGCGTCTTATTACAGTGGGGGTCCTGATCTAGTGGCAAAAAAACGCCATTTTGCATCCAGGAAGCATCAAAAAATGTGGCAAAATACCTCCATCTCCAAGTGAAAAAACTCCGATTTCAAAAGCGCACCCGCACGTCAAACTGAGGAGTCCGGTGACCGAAATAGACCCTTCGCTATCGGTTTTTTACACTTCGCCTTGATTTTGCAGAGAAGATAGAGAAAAGACGCGCAAAACCGTACTCCCTCACCCCAAAATTTCCCCATTTCTCCCTCGACAGAAAGCTTTTTCGCGTCTTTTTTTGGCACGCTCCCCTATGAAGGGGAGCGCGCGCCCTTCAAAACCAAGTTTTTTCACTTGGAGAAGGGGGTATTTTGCCACATTTTTGATGCTTCCCGGATGCAAAATGGCACGTTTTTGCCACTGGATCAGGTCCCTCACTGTAGTACCACAATTCGACAGTGAGGGACCTGATATGGCAAAAACGTATCATTTTGCATTCGGGAAGTATCAAAAATGTGGCTAAATACCTCCATCTCCAACTGAAAAAGCTCGGTTTTGAAGGGCCTCACAAAAAAGCTTTTAAAATTTGAGTTTTTTCACTTGGAGAGGGAGGTATTTTGCCACGTTTTTTGATTCTTCCGGGATGCAAAATGATACGTTTCTGCCACTGGATCAGGTCCCCCACTGTAATACCGCAATTCGAGCTCCTCCCTTTTACATAAGTTACTCAGTAATCATCAGATTACAAAACTTATCCAGCAACTTTCAAACAAAATGATTTAGAGAAGATGCTTCTGCTGTGGACGATGAATACTGCCTTGAAACCCGCCACTTTAATCCTTTATCACTGTAAAACTTCGGGTATCTGTACAAGATTTATTACAATACAATGCTAAATAAAAAAAAGAGCGTGAGATCAAAATTTTAAAATAAATATTTGGACGAAAGTGTACTTTTTTTCTACCCTGAACATTAAATTTGTCATCTACGCCTTCCTCTCCTCACAAACTGGTCTTACTCGAACCGGGCTCATCCTTTTCCTCCTCGTCCTCCCCGTTGTTGTTGTTCACGTTCGAATAAACATATCCGTTGCCATTCTGTCGGAAATCCTTGGAGCTGGATCTTGAAAGAACGTTGAGAAGCGAGCTGATCGAGTCGTTGGCGGACTGCCGGATCCGCTGATACAATGGAGCGCATATTCGGATGGCCACTTCGTACGGAGGCGGCGGTTCATTGACCGGAGGTGGACGGAAGACAGTGGACACAAAGGGGTCCTAAAAACAAATGTTGATTTGTTTTTTACAAAAGCAAATGGTGGCTAAATTTTGTAGCTTTTGTGGTCTGTGATACGGCAAAAATTTCAAAATTTATCGTGCAAAATTATCCGCCAGATATTGCAAGTTTCAAACTCTGTTTTTCACGGTGATTGGCATATATTGACAGGGTTACTAGGCCGTCCGGAAAGTCGCGGAAATAATTTTCGGCGCTTGTAATGAACAAAAAAATCAGCGGTTGGTACAAGGACTCTCCTCCTTACGATTTTTTCAACTGTTAAAAAAAGATTACCCTGGAAGAATTAAGCAATGACTGATTTTCATCGTTGCCACCGTAAGGCGAGTTGATATTTTGGAACGTCCCCGAAATTGAGAGAGATCTTGGTGGAGGAACTCCGAAGCTAAGATGAGGAAAGTTGGAGGGCCGAGGTAATGGCGGAGGATTTGCAGAGGGAATTGGCGTTGAGAAATCGCGAGATCTGAAAAGGAGAAAAGAATATACAGTGGGGGACCTGATAAAGTTGAAAAAACGTACTTTTTTTGCATCCGGGAAGTATCAAAAATGTGGCAAAATGCTTCCCTCTTCAAGTGAAAAAAACTCCATTTTGAAGGGCCTTTAAAAACAAAGTTTTTTCACTTGGAGAGGGAGGCATTTTGCCACATTTTTGATGCTTCCTGGATGCTAAATGATACGTTTTTTGCCACGGGGTCCTTCACTGTAAAATATGCGGATCAAAATATAAAAAGTGGTAAAAATAAACAAGACTGAATCGAAAAATGCCCTACTTAAACGACGAGGACATTGAACGACTTCTTGGTACGTAATTTCGATTCAAATCCCGGCTATACATGTAGAAGTCGGCATTGTTATTGTCATCTTCGCCGATAGCGCCATAATTCGCAATCACCGTTGGTTCATTGTTGTTTGTAGGACGTAGTCGGATGGAGGAGCTGTACTAAAAATTAGATATCATCAGATTTAAAAAAGACACATTTTCTCTTACATTCGTATGAATTGGATCCATCAGAACAGCTTCGGAATAACTGGGAACTATCAAGTAGTTCTGCTGATTGGCCCGTTCCAGGTCAATGGTGTCGATGGTGGAAACTCGAGTCAGCGGGCCAGTGTAGTTGATGCTGGATGGACTGGAATTTGAGAGATTATTTTGAGAGGCAACAGAAGATTTTGCGGTATGAAAAAAGTCATCATAAAAATTTTGTTGCCTTGCCCTGCACAGCGAATTCCCGTATGGGAAAATTCGAGTATAACAAAAAATTTAAAAGATGTCAAGGACCAGTTTCATGATAAAAATAAACCTTCGAAAAATAAAGCCCCTGTTCAATGCGCTGATTTCATAGCAAATTTTCTTACAGAAGTTGACCTAATAAAACTTATCATGCTTCTACAGTGGGGGACCTAATCCAGTGGCAAAAAAAAACATTTTTCCATCCGGGAAGCATCAAAAATGGGGCAAAATGCTTCCCTGTCCAAGTGAAAAACTCCGATTTCAAAAACCCCCCTTCAAAACAAAGTTTTTTCACCTGGAGAGGGAAGTATTTTCCCACATTGTTGTTGCATCCCGGATGCTAAATGGCACGTTTTTAGCCACTGGATCAGGTCCGTCACTGTACTTTTTCCTTTTATCGCACTCAAAACCTCACCTCAAATAATTTGTTCCAAACAATTTGGTGACTTGATAATGAAGATGCGCCGTTCTCCAATCAATGAACACTCTGAGAGGCCATGCCAACAGAAGACAGCAACATGTCCAATAAAACCCAGATCGCATATAGAAAGGGAGCTTCTTCGTCTCATCGGCAAAGACGAGCATTCTTTCGGAAAATCGTGTTTCCGCGAAATCTAGACCTTCTCGGACCTGGAAAGTATTATACTTGAAATTGAAGATTTAGCAGAGGGATAACATCTACAGTGGGGGAGCTGATCCAGTGGCAAAAAACGTACCATTGTGCATCCGGGAAGCATCAAAAATGTGGCAAAATGCTTCCCTCTCCAAGCGAAAAAACTTCGTTTTGAAGGGCTCTCACAAAAAGAGCTAGCGGGCTTTTGAAAGCGGAGTATTTTCACTTGGAGATGGAAGCATTTTGCCACATTGTTGATACTTCCCGGATACAAAATGAGGCGTTTTTTGCCACTGGATCAGGTCCCTCACTGTAATTGCTAGAACAAAATATGAAAAACAAAGACTGCAAAATTTACCTCCATGTAATCGTCCCTGAGTTCGTTTTCGTTGAAGAATCTCGTCCGTTGGTCCTCGAATTCATCGGCAGCTTGAACGCAAGCGAACACAAACCCTTTGCTGAACCTGACCCGTACTATTGGATAATCGTCGACGTCGTAGACATCCTTGGAGATGTCCTTGACTCCACACATGTCGTACATAAACACGTTGCCTGAGGTGTGCGAATTTACACGTTCGTAATAAACTTGAGTCGCCGAGACAGCGTCGCCGTTGCGATATCTGAAAAAGCGAGCATTGAATCAAGTTTAGCTCAAAAAAGAAGCGTTGTAGCGAAGATACGAAGCTTCAAACTTTATGCATGACATACCTAGTGACATGTTTGGTCCGTCGAATGTAGTGATAGCAAATACTCTTCCACCAGACGACCGGCGTCGACGTCCGCAGGCGATCTATCTGGTCGAGCAATTGACTCACCGTCCCACGTTGAATACAGCTCAATTTTGAGCGGTTATGCCAACATTCGAACAGGTAAATAATATACAAAAGACCGGCAAAACCGAGAGGCACATATTTGTAGGCGTTGGCACAAGGGCCGTGGAGTTTACTGAAAATTTGCGGAAATTATATGCGTTTTAAGAATCAGGGAAGTACCCCGAATGCTACGTTCAGATGTTGTTTAAATCTTGCACACATGTCGGTCGTGAACTAAGTATCAATTCCTGAGATTTTTAGCTCGCGCTTTGCAAGCGCCGCCGAGATATTGAACGGTCTTTTTGACCGAGAGAGTATGAGAAACGCGAAGAGCGGTCACAAAAAAAAATGAATTTTTGGCCGGAGCTTTGCTAGTCTCGTGCGGAAAAAAATTATTCTTTGTGGAAACATTATACTATCCGTTAGAAATAGGCATGAAACTTTTCATGCCTAAATTTGAAAAGAGTTGTCATTTTTCCCTAAATTTTCCACCTTAAAATCCCGGTTCCTTTCTGCAGGTTGCAAGCTAGAAATTTCGCATAAGTCATCGAAAAAAATATCTGAATTTGTGCCAAGTTTTATCACTGTTTCAGCGTCACACTCCGGGTATTTCCTCTGTAAAACAGTATGCCAAAGATATACCGCTCAAAAAATGACAAAAACAGAACCCATAATCTTCAATGAAACTGCGGCTCACCTGAGCTCCGGTTCATTGAAATAGATATACGGCTTGATGTGGCACCATCCAACATAGGCAAAGCAGGCAGCAATCAGGAAAGTGGAGGCCAAACATTTCCAATGAAAGTTGTTGCGTAGGGTCCGGAAGATCCCATATCTCACTGGCTTTTGCTACAAAATTCATTGATAAAAAAGTTGTAAAATAGGCAAAATTTCATTACATTTATTATATTATATATGACAAATAAAAAAAGTCAAAAATTTGTAGCACAAAACTCACCGCGGTTTGTTCGACGATGACCGGCGCAACGACAGCCCCCGGCATAATTGTTAGCTGGAGAAATTTTCAGCGGCCAAGCCCTCCTTCAGCCATACATTTTCAGCAAATATTCAAGTATGTAGGTGCAGGGCAAGAGGCTTAATTAAAATTTTTTTGGTGCAAAACACGCAATCAAGTAAACAAGTAATCACAATAAAGGCAATTTGGACGTGCTCATTTGATTCGCAAGCCAATATCGCGCTGAAAAACAGCAATTTTCGGCGTCAACAATAATACGGCTACAATTTCGAGGGGAGAAAAATAGCGATGCAAAGGCATAATAGAAAGAAGATTGTTAATTTTAACTTTCTGTGAATCCAAAGCCGGAGTTGGACGATTGGGGAAAAAGACGATTGGAAAACTGAAAAGTATTATTTTTCTTCGACGCAAATGTCGAAATTAGGATAATCGATGGTGCTGATTTCGAAAATCATGTTAAATTTTCCTTTAGTACTATATAGTACTATCCTGATACTATATAGTACGAGGTGAAAATATGGCGTTTGACGTAAAAATACGATTTTTGGCTCGCTGCGTCAGCCGGGGACATTCAAAAAAAATTTTTTTTGAGTCTTTGGCCTGAAATGTTGGTATAGGTCATTAAAACAAGTTCCGAAAATTTTTTTGCCCAATGATGCCCGGAAGGTGGTAAATACGACGGCAACAGCAGAGCTCAGAAGGACGGTAATAACCGTAGGCAAATTTCCACCTTCCGGGCATCACTGGGCAAAAAAATTTTTGGGAGTGTGTTTTAGCGACCTATAACAACATTTTAGGCCAAAAAACTAAAAAAAAAAAAACTTTTTTGAATGTCCGGCCCCTCGTATTGGCTGACGCAGCGAGCCAAAAATCGTCTTTCAATGGTGTTGTTTTGATGCTTAGAACTCTTCAAAAACACGTTTTAAAGACTTGGTGCTATTTAGTACTACCTGATACTATATAGTACGAGGTGAAAATAGCATTACTAGGCACCAGAACAACACCACTAACGTTGAAGGCGAAACTTTCTCCTTGTATATACTACATATTACCAGGCAGTACTATATAGTACTAGAGAAAAAGTTAACATGATTTTCGAAATCAGCACCATCGAAAGCCCCTAACTCGAGTATTTATGAAAAAAAAATAAAAAAAGTACTACTTTACAGTACTACTTAAGGGAAAAAGTAACAATCGAAAAAATAATACTTTTCGGTTTCTCCAATCATACTTTTCCCTAATCGTCCCAGTTCCTAAAAAACAGATAAGGAAAATATAAAATACGACAGAAGAGAGACGAAGTTAAGCTCTCGTCCAAAACTCCACCCAACAAAGTTGCAAACCCCAATTGAAGGGCCCCCAAAAAACTTGGCGGCATTCATCCGCCGCAAACTTGTTAGGCCGCTCTTTTCTTCATCTTTGACAATAATTCTGTTTCTGTTCCCGACAAACCGGTTTTTATGGCCTAACGAGGAGGAACGACGCAAAAGAGGGGATGCGCCCCTTCCACATATTGGCCGGGGAAAGTTGGGGCTCCGCGAAAAAAAACATTTTCCGGATTTTAAACCCAACGCAAAAATCCCTTCGGAGATTCGAATGTTTGTCTCTTTTTTGGGCGAGGCCAAGTTGGGGTTGGCCTCGCTGATGAGATAAGGCCAGGGTGCTCGAGAATCTGGACGCCGGGATCCTGAATCTCTGGTTATAAGCGAATGAGGAAGGATGTTGGAAAAAAGCAGCAAGTCGGGTGGAAGAATGGGAAAAGATGCGGAGATTTTGATTATGATATTTTTTGGGATCTTTGTGGTATATAGCGTAAAAATGCTAGAGTTCAGACATATGATACTTGCAAGATGATTTTTGCAGCTGACAAGGAAAGTACCCAAAACTTTCAGGGATTTATTCATCCCTGCTAACCACAACCTGCTAATAATTGTGGCCTAGTCAGGGTAGGTAGAGAAAATTTGAGGGAAATCGAAAAGCTGCGCTTGCAGAACTTTGAAAAATATTTTTTTCCCCATTTTTGCAAGGGAAGTAAGTGCGACGCTTAGATTTTCTTTAAATTTTGTACACACGTCAGTCATGAACTAATTATCAATATCTGAAAGTTTTAGCTCGCGCTTTGCAAGCGCCGCCGAGATATTGAACTATCTTTGCGACCGAGAGAGCGCGCAAAACGCGGAGAGCGGTCAGAGAGAAAAACACTTTTTGGCCATAACTTTGCTAGTTTCGTGCGGAAAAAATTGATTTTTTGTGGAAATATTACTCTCTATGGTAGAAACAGGCGTGAAACTTTTTGTGCCGAAACCCGTAGCACTTGGGGTACTTGCCCTGTGAGGTCAAACTAGTCACTATCGAATAAATTCACAGCTTTAACTTGCTCCTAATCAATTCAAAATTCGGTAGATATGCCTTCGGAACCTCACCTAGATTCCCAAATATCTTAAAATACAGTAACACCTCTTTGTCCTAACTTTTTGATGTCTGATCCCCAAAAAATTGCATTGACCTCTTTGACAAATTAAGTGGCACGCAAAGAAATAAAAAAAACAAACGGCCAAAAGAGACGACAGAGGAGTTGTTGTCCACTGATTTTCACTCTAGCATCGAAAAACAAAACTTTTGCTTGTTGTTTTGGGCTCTTCGCGCAGCCTATTTTTGGGACAAAAACAATCTTCAGAAGGGCTCTCATTTTGCAGGAACGACTAATTTGAGAATTTTTTGAACAAAGGTAGGCAAAAATTAGGGAAATGTTTTGTCAAAAAAATTTTCGACCTTGCTTCTATTATAGAAGGCAATGTTTCTACAAAAAAAAAAAAAAAAAAAAAAATAAAAATTCTAACCGAAAAATTGGCAAAGACAAAAACACTTTTGGAACCAAAAGTTTCCATCACTGGTCTCCTTATTCGCGCCCTTTCACTGAGTGTATACTAGTCGCGACATAAAGTCCTGAGAAATTTTTTGTTTTTCTTTTGGACCCGTCGCGGCAATTCCCCGTTTTTGCACTAGCGACATGCACTTTCGCGCGAGCCACTCCAATTTTCCCGCGCGACACCCGCGACAAAATGTGTCAGGACTTTATGGCGCGACTAGTACAACCAAGCTTATAAGGGAAGTACCCCAAAGTGCGACGCTAAGATTTTGGTGAAACTTGGCGCAAATTTAGAAAAATTTTTTCTAAAATATATGCGAGAATTCTAGATCGCGCTTTGCAGAAACGACCGAGATTTTTAGATCAAAAGTCGGCCAAAATTTGACAATTTTAGTCGACTTTCGGCACGAAAAGTTTCGTACCTATTTCTACCATAGACGGTAATATTTCGATAAAAAATCAATTTTTTCCGCCCGAAACTAGCAAAGTTATGGTCAAAAAGTGTTTTTCTCTCTGACCGCTCTCCGCGTTTAACATACTCTCTCGGCCGCAAAGATCGTTCAATATCTCGGCAGCGCTTGCAAAGCGCGAGCTAGAACTTTCAGGAATTGATATTTGGTCCCCACCCGACGTGTGTGCGAGTTTCTCTCTGACGGCTCTCCGGGTTTAGAGTACTCTCTCGGCGGAAAAGATCGTCCAATATCTCGGCGGCCCTTGCAGAACGCGAGTTAAAACTTTTTGGAATTGTTACTTACCGACGTGTGGGCAAAATTTAAAGAAAATCTGAGCGTCGCAATTGGGGTACTTCCCTTGTTTGAGAAAATCGCAAAATCATATGAGTTGTTCTAAATTTGGGTACTTCTCCTGGAAAGTCCCTAAAATACTTCTATGTATTCTCCGAAGACGTCAAAAAAAGGAAGAACTCCGAGTTTTATGTGACATTAAAAATATTTTTTGCGTCCCATCTAAGCTCACTTTGATTTATGGATTATTATGGGACATGAAAAATATCATTACATCTTCCAAGAGCTTTTCAATATTGAAATATTGCCAAATATTGGAAAACAAAAAATCGAATTTTTTGAATTTTTAAAACACAAGGCAATTAATATTTGAAACACAAGAAAAACAAGTGCTTTTTGAACTCCAAGACTTCCACGTGGCCTTGTCACATAGTTCCTCAATTAATTAAGTTAATTAAATTGCTCCTTTTCACTATTTTTTTAGGGTCCAATTCCAGACTTTGGACTGAGAAATTCGCCCCAAATTGGAGGCCGGAATAACTCATAAAAGTTTTAATTAGTGACTATCAAATGAGCCGTGGTTATATGCGGCTCTTTTTTTGGGAAGGTCCAGAAAAAGATGACAAAATAACAGATTCTGATGTTGCGGAGGAATTTAAAATTGGGAATTTTTTAAGGCCTGAGAATTGGTGAACTTGGGAGATCATGAAGATGATGACATATTCAGTTTTAACGCAGTAGTAAATTTAAAGATTTTCTTGTATTTTTTTGGATGAGAAACTGGTGACCCTGGGACCAATACCAATAACAAAAAAGGTGATTTTTCAAAGTAAATTTAATGAATTTTCAGAAATTTGATTTTGTGGCCATCTGTGCTTACTTTACAAAATTTTTTGTGTTGAAAGATTGAAAAAAATCATTTCTTTCTGCAAAACACGAGCTATAGATAGACCTCAACATTGATTAACAAGGGAAGTACCCCAAGTGCGACGCTCAGATTTTCTCTGCATTTTTCACACACGTCGAGCATCGACTAACAATAAGTATCAATTCCTGAAAGCGCTTTGCAACGGCCGCCGAGATATTGAACGATCTTTGCCGCCGAGAGAGTACGCTAAACGCGTAGAGCGGTTAGAGGGAAAAAACACTTTTTGATCTAACTTGGCTAGTTTCGTGCGAAAAAATTGATTTTTTTGTAGAGACAGTACCCTTTACAGTAGAAATAGACATGAAACTTTTCGTGCCAAAAAACGGCAAAAAACTGAAACTTTCGTCGGCTTTCGATCTAAGAATCTCGGTTGTTTCTGCGAAGCGCGAGCTAGGATTCTCGTATACATTTTAGAAAAAATTATTCTAAATTTGTGCCAAGTTTCATCAAAAACTGAGCGTCGCACTTGGGTTCCCCTGTGAAAACA